ATGTTTCCAGACAAATTCATGATTTTTCCATATAAATTCTTCACTTTCCTATAACAATTCTGCACGTTTCCATACAAATTCTTCAGTTTACCATATTTTGCCATACAGATTCTTTTCCATATAAATTATTTTCCCTTTTCAGTCAAATTCTTCACTTTTTCCATATGCGTTTCTTCATTTTCTCCATAAATCCTTCACATTTCCATAAATCCCGACACCGGTCGTGGGGGATACCCTTCGGTGAGCTTGAAAAACTCATTTTTTTAATTCAATATATTAAAAAAAATGATCATTTCGGGGGACCTGTTTTTTTGTTTAACCGTTCCAGTTTAGGAACTTCAGATATCCAGGATTGCTTCTACCCAAAGGGAATTACGTATATAATAATTATTCATGAAGGGGACCCTATTCCTTGCAAAACTACATACATAGAATATAGGTCCCCAGTGAAAATATTCATCATTTTTTAAAGGAATGCCACCTAATTCCATTAGTTTTCAATGCAAACTAGTTTTTTATTATTTTTTTCATAGTTCTCCGACACCGTTCGTGGGGGGTACCATTCGGTGAGCTTGAAAACTCATTTTTTTAATACAATATGAAAAGAAATTGATCATTTCGGGGGAGCTGTTTTTTTGTTGAAACATTCTAGTTTAGGAACTTCAGACATCCAGGATTGCTTCTACCCAAAGGGAATTACGTATATAATAATTATTCATGAAGGGGACCCTATTCCTTGCAAAACTACATACATAGAATATAGGTCCCCAGTGAAAATATTCATCATTTTTTTGAGGAATGCCACCTAATTCCATTAGTTTTCATTGCAAACTAGTTTTTTTTTTTCATAGTTCTCCGACACCGGTCGTGGGGGGTACCCTTCGGTGAGCTTGAAAAACTCATTTTTTTTCATACAATATGAAAAGAAATTGATCATTTCGGGGGAGCTGTTTTTTTGTTGAAACGTTCTAGTTTAGGAACTTCAGACATCCAGGATTGCTGCTCCCCAAAGGGAATTACGTATATAATAATTATTCATGAAGGGGGCCCTATTCCTTGCAAAACTACATACATAGAATATAGGTCCCCAGTTAAAATATTCATCATTTTTTTAAGGAATGCCACCTAATTCCATTAGTTTTCATTGCAAACTAGTTTTTTTCATAGTTCTCCGACACCGGTCGTGGGGGGTACCCTTCGGTGAGCTTGAAAAACTCATTTTTTAATACAATATGAAAAGAAATTGATCATTTCGGGGGAGCTGTTTTTTGTTGAAACGTTCTAGTTTACGGACTTCAGACATCCAGGATTGCTGCTCCCCAAAGGGAATTACGTATATAATAATCATACATGAAGGGGGCCCTATTCCTTGCACTTACCCAACCTAGACCATTTCCCATGAGCACGAAATGTGGGCATATTCTAAGTGGAGTTGCGTTCGAGTTCAACTGCATAATTGGAAAAACGGATATTCTAAGATAACGGGGTTGATTATAAATCATAAACACATGCCAAACCAAACACTTTTAGCTGAGTATTGTAGTCCCAATCTGTTGGCAAATGTCCAGCCGATTCACCATGCGTGACCCAACAAGATCCAAACTATGGATTGTTTACTTTCGATTTTTTTTTTTTACTGGTTCTTGCAAACAATTTTATAGAGGATGGGCATGGACCGGCCAGTTTATACAGAGGGTGGGGCTGCCAGAAATGACGTGATCAAGCCACTTTATAGAGCTGAACTTTCTTGCAAACCTTTTTATAGAGGATGGGCATGTGGCCGTGGTTTTGGTCCATAGATGTCCATAGATTTTTAGGATGATTTTGGGAGATTGTCGTCATAGATATACGTAGATTCACCCAGTATGTTTTTTTTTTCGAAAGTAAACAATCCATAGTTTGAATCTTGTTGGGTCACGCATGGTGAATCGGCTGGACATTTGCCAACAGATTGGGAATACAATACTCAGCTAAAAGTGTTTGGTTTGGCATGTGTTTATGATATATATATATATATGTATATATATATATGTGTATATATATATATTTATATTGATGTGTGAATCATAGGTATACATATGTTCCAAAATACATCTACAACATATGCAATATACCAATCATCGCCAATCTTTATGACGCATTGAAAACAATAAACGTATATAAACGTGACATGTCTCATTTTCTTGTGGTAGCCTTCCCGTTGTACCTCTCCGTTGTAGTTTTCCCCCTTTACCTTGTTGTCAGTCCTTCCGTTTCCGGGTCAAAGTCCTGGAGCCGACTGGCTGGGGTATAAAGTGGCCATTCCAACATAAAAATGTGCTTTTTCAGGGGTTTTACCTGGACTGGCCACTTTATAGAGGCATTCTCTGTTGGGGGAGGTGGTATAAAGTGGCCAGTCCAACATAGATTCTGTTTTTTCAGGGTTTTACCTGGACTGGCCACTTTATAGAGGCATTCTCTGTTGGGGGAGTATAAAGTGGCCAGTCCAACATAGATTCTGTTTTTTTCAGGGTTTTACCTGGACTGGCCACTTTATAGAGGCATTCTCTGTTGGGGGAGGGGGTATAAAGTGGCCAGTCCAACATAGATTCTGTTTTTTCAGGGGTCTTACCTGGACTGGCCACTTTATAGAGGCATTCTCTGTTGGGGGAGGGGGTATAAAGTGGCCAGTCCAACATAGATTCTGTTTTTTCAGGGTTTTACCTGGACTGGCCACTTTATAGAGGCATTCTCTGTTGGGGGAGGGGGTATAAAGTGGCCAGTCCAACATAGATTCTGTTTTTTTCAGGTGTTTTACATGGACTGGCCACTTTATAGAGGCATTCTCTGTTGGGGGAGGGGGTATAAAGTGGCCAGTCCAACATAGATTCTGTTTTTTCAGGGTTTTACCTGGACTGGCCACTTTATAGAGGCATTCTCTGTTGGGGGAGGGGGTATAAAGTGGCCAGTCCAACATAGATTCTGTTTTTTCAGGGGTTTTACCTGGACTGGCCACTTTATAGAGGCATTCTCTGTTGGGGGAGGGGGTATAAAGTGGCCAAACATAGATTCTGTTTTTTCAGGGGTTTTACCTGGACTGGCCACTTTATAGAGGCATTCTCTGTTGGGGGAGGGGTATAAAGTCAAACATAGATTCTGTTTTTTCAGGGGTTTTACCTGGACTGGCCACTTTATAGAGGCATTCTCTGTTTGGGGAGGGGGTATAAAGTGGCCAGTCCAACATAGATTCTGTTTTTTCAGGAGTTTTACCTGGACTGGCCACTTTATAGAGAAGAAGATTTCCCTTGAAAGGGGTCCTCAGGGTGAATGGGGTCCTGGGCAGCTCTATAAAGTGACTTGGATGATGTATCTCATGACTCTATAAAATGCTCTGCCGCAATTTTCTTTCTATAAAGTGCCCTGGATGCAGCACAAATTCTTCTTCTTAAAGGGCAAGTTTCACTCTATAAAGTGCTTTGCCATGTATACAGCCCCAACAGAAAAATATTGGCCCGAAATAATTGGGGAGACATGTTTCTATAAAGTGGATGGTGTGACATATTATGGCCATTCTTTGAAGGGAACCAACGGTCTATAAAATGCATTGCCGCATATATTGAGTCGTTTCCTTGTGGGGAACCAGCCGGGTATAAACTGGAAAGCCAACGTTCTAATAAAGTCATCTTCCAGGTCCAAGGGCATGTTTCTCGCGCAAAACACGGCTTTATCCCCTATTGTCGGTATATAAAGTGGCGACCGGAAACCCACTTTAAAAGCGCAAAGGATGTCCACTTTATAGTGAGCTATACATGGGGGATCATAATGTAACATAAAGGTTGTTGGTACGATAATTCAAAACTCATTGAGATATCCAAATTGCTTACATCACCTATGATCATGTACATATACAATTAATTGGTTCATAGTTGAGTGCCAATTTGAATATTATAAAGAAGCATCGCATAAGAACGAACACAGCTATATCATATCAATAGTTGTATAATATCAATGACATATCGCTCAGCCAAATGCATATATGCCTATATTATCATATTGTATATGTATATGTGATGTATCTGAGTAATTCACCAGAAACCCGCCAGATATATGATTCAGCCTTGATATTCAGCATATATCTATATGGTCTATTAGAGTCTATATGTATATGTGTATATTATATAAATATATATGTACATAATAAAATATGCATGTCATCATGCTACTTTCAGCATGAATTTCGATTAGCTCACCCGAAAATCATTAGACTTTGTCCAGAAATACAACTGATCTGTTGTAATTCACGTGAAATATAGGGTACTTTACTTCTCCATTCACCAGAAAAAAACATATCCCAATGATATCCCTATGAATCATCTGGCTGTCAAAACCCTGGTACCCGGATGGTACCCGATAATGGTTGGTATAGCTGGATGGTTATTCCCCTAGTCATATGGAAAATTCCTAGGTCACTTGACCCATCCCCATCATGTCTGAATTATGAAACATATCATGAAAAATATGTGATAACCCATAACATAATCCATTGACCAACCATTAACCATTCACCAACCATTAACCGGATATATTAAGAATATACAGTGTTCCATTGTTATGTTCCATCTGTGATGGATATTTGTCATTTTCCCTCTATGATATTCCAGTGTTATCTGCCAAAATTACTTTATTTCTTACCTCGTCTCCCTCGTGTCCTATTTCGTTCCCCAGTTTTAACGCCTCGCATCGCTAATTCGCATGATGGAAATAAGGCTTGTCCTCGTTATTTCTCAATAAGGAATGAAGGTTTCAGGTTGTGGTGGGGCCCAAACCAAGCGACAGAAAAACTTTTCCCCCTCTTAAAAGTTTATTTTGGGGTTACCTCGTGTGAGAACGGGACGCCTCGCTAGTTCCCATGTTCAATACAGAAGACTTCCCCTCGTCATTTCTGAGTAGGGGTTTAAAGTTTAAGGTTGTGGGGAAGCCCAAGCCAAGCGAACAAAAAAACTCTTTCGCCACTGAAAAGTTTAGTTTGGGGATCGGGCTTGCCCGCGTTCCTCCTCGTCCGGCTGCTTGCGCTTCCTCTTCGGTGGAGACATCTCATCCAAAATTGAAGAAGCCTCCCGCGCCTGCGGGGCATCTTGGAGAGCCACTGCCTCGGCTTCGACGAGGCCACGGGCTGGACCGTCTCTTGCGGGTCTTTTGCGTCTGTACCTTGCCCTTTTTTGGCCAGAGTCGGAGCGCTGTGCTCTGCGACGCTGCCGGGCCCGTGGCCACCAGGTGTTGACTCATGGGTCTCCGCGTGGACAAGAATGAACCCGCGCTCCCCATTAGTGCAAGAACGAATCTCGAGCCGAAGACTTGCCTATCTCCCACCCAAAACTCTGTGGTCTCAAGGGACAAATGATTCTTCGTGGTAAAGGCTGACATGACAGAACCCCATTTGTCAGCCATGTCTGCCTCAGCCGTCCATGGCCGCAGGGTAGGACTGGTCACCAGCACTTTGAGCGTCATGGTGACTAAAACAAGAGCAAGTTCGACAGCTTGACCCCAAAAAAACTTATCGTACAAAGATTTTTTTCTTAATAGTTTTCTTTGCAGCTCTTTCATGCTCATAGTGATGAAAGCAAAGCAAGCTCGGGTAGAATGCATTTAAAAAACTTTCCTACACCGCAAAAGTTTCTTTCCTTCCTTTTGTGGAGTTGGACCTCTTTTGTGGCTCCCCCAAAGTTTTTCTAACCCAGTCCAAACATGCAACAAACCAATACAAGGCTACCTTGTCGAGTTGGCTAATTAAAAAAAACAAATTAAGCTTTACCTCGTTAAATCTGACTTACCCACCGCGTTGCCTCGTTTGTCCTCGCTATAATTTGTGCATGCCATTCTTATTCTATTGTTATTCCAGTTTATGATATGTATATTCCATTAACCAACCATTAAACTGCCTATGCTATGATTGGTGATATTCCAGCTATATTATGATATATGCCATTGTTATTTAACCAAATATATTCCAACCACTATTCCATTCTTATTTGCTATTTGGTGGTTTCCTCAAATAGGGGGTACCCCTAAATCATCCATTTTAGATTGATATTTTCAATCACAAACCATTCCAAATTTTTGGGTGCCCCTATTGTAGGAAACCACCATTTAACCATCGCTCACACTACGATACATAACCCTTATGGCATCGCCAATGTGCGAAGTTCCACAATAATATATATATATATATATAATATATAATATATATATAATATATTCCATTGTTATTTGCCCTTCAAACATGATTTCCCTATTGTTATGTGCTATTTAACCATCATTATTATGATATATATACATATTATATAATTATATATATTGTGATATATGTATATTATTATATATATTATTATATATATTATTATATATATATATATTATTATATATATATATATATATATTATTATATATATATATATTATTATAAATATATATATATATATATATATAATATTATAATATATTCATATGTTTTTTCATTATTATGATATTATGCCATTGATTATCATCATTAAACATTATTACCATGATATTATGCCAGAATATGGGAAAACAATGGTAATTTACTATTGTTGTTCCAACCATAATATTTACCATGAATTACATCATATGAATATGGGGGCCCAAACGATAGCTAAGTTGGTATATCTCTCCAAAAACTATTGTTTATTCAATGGGAATTTCAGGATCCTAAAATGAAGGTACTGTACCATTTTTCAGGCCATATTTTCTGGGGATATTCCCTTACAGGCCTTACCTTATATATGGTAGGTACCTCCAATTTAGGTTCCTGAAATGGCCATTGATTTATGATTCTGATCCAAACCACCATTTACCCTCTGGTAAACGTCTACATAACTATGGAAAATCACCATTTTATAGCCGGCTAAATCAACTATAAATGTGCCATGTTTCAATAGTTGTATAAAATTACCAGAGGGTTTTTCTACCATTGATATGGGGCTTTCCTAAAATAGGGATACCCAAAATCATCCATTTTTAATAGCAAACTGTTAGTTTCCCGGAGGGATTTTCCCAGCGATTTTCTACCGCGATGTCCCCACCTTGCGCCGTCCGCAGGAGGGCCAACAACGTCGAGCAGGGCGCTCCGTGGTGCGGGAAGTCCCGTGCGGCGTCCAGGGCGCCTATAGCGGTCGTGCAGGCGTAACGGCAGATGTTTTCATGGGATTTCAATGGGATTTTATACAATGTAGGGTTAATCTAGGTATAATTTGGGATAATTTGGGTTATATCATGTTATATAATCCATCTAATTATAGTTATAACATGTTATAACAGCCATAAACCCTAGTTATTGTCGTTAGAAACCAACTGAACGCGAAAAAAAAGCGGGGCCCCCGGGTCCCATGTCGGATTTTTCGGATTTCAATGGGATGACCATGGGATTTTTTCAAGTCACATGGGGTGCTGGTTGGTTTTGAGGTTTATGACTTGGATCATTTGGGGCTGTGGTTTTTTCTATGGGATAATGAGGTTTATAATTTTCTGGTTTTCTATGGGCTAATGTGGTTTTTTACAAATGTCATCATAAGCCACCCCATTGTTGATGGTAACATATGGTAACCATACCGCCCATAAACATACGGTGAATTTAAGGGGATGGTTTATGTTTTTTTAACCACATTACGCCCATTTTCGGACACCTCCATTTATCATTTAGAACTAGTCAGCCATAGTCATCCCCATCAGTATGATCACTGATCATCAATAATTTATTACCGATCATATGAGTATGGGCCATGTTTTTTGATACCCGTAAAATTGGATGGTATGTTTCGAAAGATGAACAGAATCTATGGTCCCTTTGTCCTTACTTTTTGACCAACCCGCATAGGTTCGGTGGTGTCGCAGTTTCTTAGCAAAGTTGGTGGAAATAATTTTGTTATGGTCAGACCAGAGTTGGGTTTATAGTGAAATAACATAAAGTGCATGAAGTTTATGCTACGATATACCAACTTATAACTATGGACCACCACTTTGCAAGGAATGATCACAAATTGTCTTCCTATATATATATATATAGATAATGTATGTAGAAAAAAAATCGTGAACTTATGACATCTATTAAAGTCTTATGAATTATGATAAGATTATCAATTTGTAGTGCTTCCCGGAATTGGCTTAAGGGAAATCAACAGGAACTGATAGCTAAAATCCATGGATTTCTGGATATAGATGTTCTCTTAACACACAATCCATTAATTGTTATACAAAATGTGTTTTGGATATGTATGATAGACATGGAATTTTGAACTACTCCTTCATATTTCGTTGGGATTCTAACAATAACAGGTGTTAATAGGTATTTTCGGTATACTTAATATATTGAACATCTAGGAAAATCATGGAAATCACATGGTTAGAGTTCTGATTGGACTATCATGGATTATCTATGTCTATTAATATTTTATTAGCAACAATCATATATCAATATTAAGGATGAACCACGCCTGCGTGTCACATTGGTTTGGCAAGTACTCCGTTCTTATCAAACTAATAATATGATGATCGAGTTTATCACATTATCAAACCCATCTTGGCTGTTGCTTGGTGGTGTTCAAAACTTGGTACTGACGATGCACTATTCTGGGAATAAGGTGGGATTAGATACACCCGGTTATAACATCGGGAGGCTCTGAACGAATGATTTTTCTTGATATATTCATGTGCTTTAGATTTATTTGGAATTATTTCGATATGTTTCTGTTGTGTCTTGCTGTTGCAGTTTTCTTATGGTTTGGCACCAGGTAGGTGTGCGGTACGGATCAAACAATCGCATCAACATCATCTCAAAAGCAATACATGTATATAATGTAAATACAACATAATGTAGAACATCCCAAAGTTCATCAACTTGCTTTGATCAGTCCTGGAGAAACATACAGTTTTGAGATTGATCCGCATTGGATACTGTGTTGATGCAATTTCGAACGATTTACCGTCCCAACTCTGTCGAACTGGATTGGTAATTTTGATAATCACATCAAAACAACATCAACACCATAACATATCGGAATCATAACCTCAAATTTCAAGCGCATCAACATCATTTCCAGAAAGCATGACAAAACCATATCAAATGTAAAACGTAAAACATTGTATGTAAAACAAGTTGAATTTGGTTCCCTAGAGGATTCAGAAGAGGCTGGTCGATCGACCTAAGTTACCGAAACCATTCTCTTCTCTGTGGTTTGTGGATGTTTGTTGATCCCTTGCCTAAAGCTCAATATATAGCGGAATATTCTGCAAAAAAAAACTATGCACAACAAAGCTGAGTATCTAGATAGATTGTCAATGATTATCACATATGGTCACAATCCATCCAGTCGTTTTTGTTGTGCCACTCATTGCTGTTCAAGCTTGTTGGCTGCATGACTCAGCTCCAAATGACTTGTTAAAGTTCTAAGTCACTTTATGATGGCTAAAAAAAACTCATATTACAGCAAATATACTTCCTATACTTCAATGATCTTCAATAGATTCTTTTTATTTTGTGATCTAACCAATCTATCAATTTCTATCCATGAGCCATTTCCAGCCCAGCGGCTCACCAGCCCTGGCCGTTTCGGGTTTCGGGAAACTCGCCTTGCTGAAAGCCCTGGCGCCGCTGTCGTCGTCTTTTGATCAGCTGAGAGCCCAAAGTCGCGTGAGTCAGTCGAAAAAACGGCCAGAGATTCGTCCGCTGTCGTCAGTTTTAAGTGCTCCTGGTTGGTGGTTGAGCCACCTACCCCTCTGAAAATGGTTAATATTAATGGTTATTATATGGTTAATGATGGTTAATAATAACCTGGTTGGTGGTTTAAAAAACATCTTGAAAAATGATGGACTTCGTCAATGGGAAGGATGACGTCCCATATATGAAATGGACAATAAAACATGTTTGAAACCATCAACCAGGCTTAAAACCGCAAGAGAAACACCAGGTTTGAACCATGTCCACCAGGTTTGAACCTTGGCCTCAGCTGGGTCGCAAAAAAACACCTGAGACATCTTGAGGATCAACAAAGGATTGGCCAAAATGGATTTACAACATTTACAAACAGTATAACAACCAAACTGTAATCCATGACAGCACCCTTGAATATCCTTGAGATCCCTTGAATATGGCCAAAGAATTGGTTGTCTATCTACAATCGCCGCCAAATGATAGCTGTTTTAAGTAAGTTTCGTGCACACTCCGTGACGGATTCAGGGACTCAAATGAGTTTTGTTTGGGATCTGGAGATCTGGATGTGTCAGGTGACAGTTTGAGAATGTCTAGAAGTCAATCCTCAAGAACTTCAATATGTTGAATAGATTAAATCTGAATAGTCAATGATGCCTCCACGATTACTGGTTGGTGGTTTTAACATGTTTTAACCATCTTGAAAAATATGAGTTCGTCAATGGGAAGGATGACATCCCATATATTATGGAAAATAAACATGTTCCAAACCACCAACCAGATTAGCTTTTATTCACATGTTCTGTGGATTTCTGGAAAACATCCAATTTATCTGCAAATAGCCTGCGATTTCAATGTCACCCCCAACAAACATCAACAAACTATTCTTGGGTAATCTTGCTAGTTGTCAATGCTATAAATGAATATAAATGACACATTTCTGAACACGGAACCTCAGACAAAGCAACTCCTCGGATGGACCAACTTTGATTTGTGAATTAACCACCACTGTTTCATATGTATACATTGGATTTTAGTGCCATATCAGTATCCCACCATATCCCATCCACAGTTCTTGGTTGACCACTGAAAATCCGTCGGAACCTTTTTCGACAAACTGGACGGCTGACTGGTTTCCATCGACAACGCACAACTTTGCCAGGTTCACAACGTTCACAACCCTTTTGGGTGCGAGTTGTCGCAGTGTCAGTTGTTTCATCATTAATGGCCCATTGAAAAATCGCAAATAGATCAAAACATGATACAACCATTTCGGGCTTACCCACCACTTGGCAATCAAATCAACCATGGTTTCTACAAATGTCATCAAAATTCAGGGAAACTTCGCATGGAACACAGTTAGCAGTGTTCAAAAAGCTCTGTCGTTTCGTTGTTAGTTCATGTTAGGATTTTCCGGGCTGCAATCCCCAATTACCCTCTGGTTATTTAACATAGCTATGGAACATGGTCCACAAAAAAAAATGTTTTATCATGATTTGCCCCCCAAACAAATGGTGATTCTCCAGTTCGCTACGTTAAATAACCAGAGGCTAATATTGGTGAGTTTTTGATCCCCTAATCAGCAATCATCAAACACAGCAGAATCATCCCAACATGAGCTCCAAAGTATGGATATGAAAGTGGGGTTCAGCATCTGTCAACAGGATGATCATGGATAACCCGAAAATGGATGATCTATGATGATCTATATATGATAATGTTGTCTGACCAATAGTAGATACTAATGTTCTAATGTATATCATAAATAATATTTACTATTGTGCAGCCAACATTAATCATTGATAATCTATGATCCGTGGTAACACAAAAACCAAAACTTTCTGTGGCTTCCATGTCGAACGGAACATCCACGAAGATGCAATCAGTGTCCAACGTCTGTGGATACATGTGAAAACACGTGAAACATGAAATAAACAAAATACCATGCACCACATGTTTCATTTCAACTGCTCTCATTGACTCTATTGAGATATGTAAACAGCGTTCTGTTTGAAATACAACTGCCATGCTCAGCCATTGCTGAGACAGGACGTCGTGGTGCCAGGCTGGCCTTTGGTCGAAGAAGTCTTCACTGATTCGATGGTCCGTCCCAACACCCAGTGAATTCTCAGGCCCTGGAGGCTCAGGTGCCCCCTTCTGCCAGTGGTCCTTGAATTTGGTAAGGCACCTGGCGAGCCCGGCCCAATTCCCAACGAAAACCTGGGGGCCCTGTGGTCCCACACCACACCGGACCGTGAATCCCTTGGAACAACAAATAGTCCTTGACGAATTTGGGTAAAACAAGGTCATGTTTACCATCCCCCAGTCATCACCATGTTTATAGGTGGTATAAACCATTTCCAAATGGGTGGTATATGACTTTCATAGACTCGTTCGGGGGGGGGGCAAGCCGACCCCGCAAAACGCAAAATTTTGAACCTTAACGGTCTTTAAAAGTACACTTTTAAACACTATTAGTGCCTAACGGTGTTCGAAGAAAATGGCCTCAAACGGTTTCAAAATAGACTCAAAATGAACTCGGTAGTGCTCAAACGGTTTCATTTTGGAGAAGAACATTGCATTTTGGGAAACAACATGGAAAATAGTGTGCCTCAAATTGCCTCAATCTGGCTCTAATCAGGTACATTTGGAAGAATGCTATGCATGGGAAAACACCTACAAAGTGAAAAATATTTTACCAAGAGAAACCATGGAACAAATAATCCCATTATTATTAGTCTATATTTTTATTGCTATTATTGAATTGCATTTAATCAGGTACATTTAGAAAAATACTGTGCATGGGGAGACACATACAAAGTGGAAAATGTTTTCCCAAGATTGGCAAAGAATCAATGCTAACCACATATTCTTGTGATGGTAAATTTTAAATGATTGCGTGCAGAAAAAACGGCAATAACTTGCCATCTTCCCCAAACCAATTGGATTCAAATTGTTTTCCTTTTGAGTGGCTGCATGCAGCAATTCACATAGCAAGCCCGCCTGCTCTTAGTTAAGCAGGGATTGGTACCATCTGCTTAACAGATTGGTGCGCACTGCCTGAACCAAACTGGCTGAGTAATCCCCACAACAAATAAATTTTATGTTATCAGTTTTAACTAAAATGATCTAAAATGCATTGTATTCAAAATTCAAAAACGCGTTGCTCGTGGAAGTTTCAACTTCATGACTTAGATCCTAAATGGATAGATACTCCAGGGAATTGGTTCAATATCAAATGGTTACCATTAAGGAATTGAGGGCGCAGATTGACAATCGGTGCAAAGAATAGAGCTGAATTGTGAAGCTGGGGTTGAATCTAAAGAAACGTTGAAATCACGCTGGGACTGCTTGACAGATCAGCATCTAAGCTAGCTGGCGGCCTCTGGCTTGGCCAATCGGGCCTCTAGCTTCTCAATTGCCTCGAGAAGAGCTTTTTCCGAAGGCCTCAAAAACAAATTCGGAGCGTTATGGAGGAGAATTCACGATCTTGTATGTTTTTCCCTTATCGTTTTGCTACCTGAAAACCAATGATTCAGGCATACATTGTATAGTCAAATCTGGTGAATTGGGGAATTATGTATGAATCGCTACTTAGCCAGAAAATCACTACGGCTTAATGGGGCTCAATGGGGCTCAATGGGGCCCAATGGGGCTCAATGGGGCTCGTTATACTGTGTGAAATTGGTGAAAATACATTATTTGTTGTTTGTATGGTGGCTTGTAGCCAAAATCACCATTGTTATTGTCAAATAAACAGACGATTATTATTAGACAAATTCATATAGAATATGGTTTATATTGTTTTGTTACCTGAAATTCAGGCATACGTTGTGTAGTCAAATCTGGGGAATTGGGGAATTGGGGAATTATGTACAAATGGTTATTTAGCCAGAAAATTACTACAGCTTGATGGGGCTCAATGGGGCTCAATGGAGCTCAATGGGGCTCAATGGGGCTCAATGGGGCTCATTATACTGTAAAAAAAATCGGGAAACACATAATTTGTTGTTTGTGTGATGACTTGTAGCCAAAATCACCCTTGTTGTTGGTAAATAAACATTTATTATTACACAAATCCATATAGAATAATGCTCATATTGTTTTGTTACCTGAAAAGCAATGATTCAGGCATACATTGTATAGTCAAATCTGGGGAATTGGGGAATTATGTATGAATTGCTACTTAGCCAGAAAATCACTACGGCTTCATGGGGCTCAATGGGGCTCAATGGGGCTCAATGGGGCTCGTTATACTGTGTAAAATTGGTTACAAAAACATAATTTGTTGTTTGTGTGGTGACTTGTAGCCAAAATCACCATTGTTATTGTCAAATAAACAAACAATTATTATTAAACAAATCCCAAAAAAAATATATGGCTCATTGTTACCTGAAAAACACTGATTCAGGTTAATAATAATTGTCTATTTACCAATAACAATGGTGATTTTGGCTACAAGTCACCACGCAAACAAAAAAAACTGTTTTTTCCCCAATTTTAGACAGTATAATGAGCCCCATTGAGCCCCATTGAGCCCCATTGAGCCCCATTGAGCCCCATTGAGCCCCATTGAGCCCCATTGAGCCCCATTAAGCCGTAGTGATTTTTCTGGCTAAATAACAATTTGTACATAATTCCCCAATTCCCCAGATTTGACTATACAATGCATGCCTGAATCATTGCTTTTCAGGTAACAAAACAATATGAACCATATTCTATATGGACTTGTTTGATAATAAACGTTTATTTACCAATATCAATGGTGATTTTGGCTACAAGTCACCACACAAACAAAAAAAACTGTTTTTTCCCCAATTTTAGACAGTATAATGAGCCCCATTGAGCCCCATTGAGCCCCATTGAGCCCCATTGAGCCCCATTGAGCCCCATTGAGCCCCATTGAGCCCCATTGAGCCCCATTGACCCCATTGAGCCCCATCAAGCCGTAGTGATTCCTGTCTAAATAACAATTTGTACATAATTCCCCAATTCCCCAGATTTGACTATACAATGTATGCCTGAATCATTGCTTTTCAGGTAACAAAACAATATGAACCTTATTCTATATGGATTTGTTTAATAATAAACGTTTATTTACCAACAACAAGGGTGATTTTGGCTACAAGTCACCACACAAACAACAAATTCTGTTTTTTCTACAAGTTTTCCACAGTATAACGAGCCCCATTGAGCCCCATTGAGCCCCATTGGGCCCCACTGAGCCCCATTAAGCCGTAGTGATTTTCTGGCTAAGTAGCAATTCATAGATAATTCCCCAATTCCCTAGATTTGACTATACAATGTATACCTGAAACATGGGTTTCCAGGTAGCAAAACAATAAGGGAAAAACATACAAGATCGTGAATTCTCCTCCATAAAGCTCCGAATTTGTTTTTGAGGCCTTCGGAAAAAGCTCTTCTCGAGGCAATTGAGAAGCTAGAGGCCCGATTGGCCAAGCCAGAGGCCGCCAGCTAACTTAGATTGATCTGTCAAGCAGTCCCAGCGTGATTTCAACGTTTCTTTAGATTCAACCCCAGCTTCACAATTCAGCTCTATTCTTTGCACCGATTGCCAATCTGCGCCCTCAATTCCTTAATGGTAACCATTTGATATTGAACCAATTCCTGGGGGTATCTATCCATTTAGGATCTAAGTCATGAAGTTGAAACTTCCACGAGCAACGCGTTTTTGAATTTTGAATACAATGCATTTTAGATCATTTTAGTTAAAACTGATAACATAAAATTTATTTGTTGTGGGGATTACTCAGCCAGTTTGGTTCGGGCAGTGCGCACCAATCTGTTAAGCAGATGGTACCAATCCCTGCTTAACTGAGCAGGCGGGCTTGCTATGTGAATTGCTCCATGCAGCCATGCAAAAGGAAAACGATTTGAATCCAATTGGTTTGGGGAAGATGGCAAGTTATTGCCGTCTTTTCTGCACGCAATCATTTAAATTTACCATCACAAGAATATGTGGTTAGCATTGATTCTTTGCCAATCACCGAACTGAAAATAATTCTATGTGGAATTGTCCACAACTGTTTGACACAATGCAGTCCCAACTTTTTGCCTGCAAGATACTGATTATTAGTTGGTTGTTTATGGTGTTACCGAGGTTCAAGCAAACAACTCTATTTTTATTGTGGTGAATTCCATTTGATACTCTTTAAGCCCGTTTGAGCCCCAATGAGCCCCTTTGAGCCCCTTTGAGGCCCCTCAATTGGGTTTAATTGGGTTCAATTGGGTTTAATTGATATTAATGAATTTTCCATAGTATATTAACACTTGTGCCCCTCAAACGGTTTCAAACAGGTATCGGTAGTGTTCGGGATTTTGGGGGTCGGTTTCCCCCGCCCCCCCGAGCTCATCTATGAGACTTTGTTTTACCCACATTACCTAGTATAAAGGTCTTATAGCCGTGGCACATGACATATATCTTCTGGGCTCCATGATAAGTTTTGTTGACGAGAGTAGCTGAGTCATTTAGATAATTTGGTCCATACTAGAGTCCATACTCAACATAGTTGTGATGTTGTGGCTTGTTATGTATAATAACATGATATAAATTATATACATGTTCAGTATGATATTGTTGAAATACATATCATACTGAACAACTGAACATGTATATCAATCAACACCCCTCTTCTGGCCTACTCCAGAGGGGTAAACCCGTCAATGGATACAGGGATGGTAAGGAGTACACTCCCCAAAATGGTGCCCTCAAAAAATGGGAACCATGATGATTAACCATCGGATTTAGGGGCCCCAAGCAAAGCCACATGTGCTTGGGTCAAAATATGAAATTCTTTATGGTTTTGGTCATCCATCCCATAATGGGAACGTCAACACAATGGTTATATATATATATTGCCATGAAACTGGATTCATGACCATCCCTCAATGTGGAAAAAGAACAATCCAACGTTTGACCATGGCAAATGAACCATATGTTAGCTAAATTGAGATACGTCAAAATTAACATCATCATCTAACATCATGATAACAAACACAGTTAGCTGAGCTATGTGGCTGAGTTTCATCCCAGTGCATGCCCCCGGTTGCACCTCGCCAAATGTTCGAGAACAGGTGGGCGGCAAATGGCCATAGATCGGGGTTCGTTCCGCCTGGCTTCAGGATCAAAGATGGCAGTGTAACACAGTGGAACACACCAAAATTCACAGGAGACCTCATCATATCAATGGCCATTTCAGGAACCGATTGGAGGTACCTACCATATATAAGGCCTATGTTTCAGGCCTATGTAAGGGAATATCCTCACAAAATATGGCCTGAAAAATGGTACAGTACCTCCATTTTAGGATCCTGGAATTCCCATTGATCATAACCCATAGGATCCATGTATGCTATATATGGTAACATGGATCCCATCAATATACCCCCTTTATGTTAGCATATATACCATACATGGATCCTATGGGTAATACAACATCAAATAAATAATAAATAAATCAACACCTCGATGTTGCATTGGGCTATGTATCGAGAAAGGTAGAGAGTCTCTGGATCTACTTACCAATGTTCAATGGATTGGTTCTCTAGAGAACATCTACCGGAAACCGTAGATTTCCCCATTTAGTATGGGGTTTTCCTGTAAATTTTCCCTTAAACCAATCCATGGAACATTTAACATAGCTATTGAACATTTAACATAGCTATTGAAAATTTAAGATAGCTATTGAAAATGGCCCATTTATAGATGATTTACCTATTAAACATGGTGATCGTACATTCCAAGCAACGTCAGCGCCAGTTCCGTGTCGATAAACGATCCTGCCTTGGCGTTCAGACCTGCAGCTCCCTTGTAGATCACTGAGTCAGTCTGGCGCAAGATGCCGTCGCTCCTGGTCAATATTCATGGTATATCATGTTACCCCTCTGGTAAACTAACATAGCTATTGAAAATGGCCATTTGTAGTGGATTTTCCCATTGAACATGGAGATTTTCCATAGTTATGTTAGTTTACCAGAGGGTATATAAGTATATATATATAAGTATATAGATGTGTATGTATATACATATGATATGTACATGTATACATATGTATAATGTATCTTTATATACATATATATGTATATCTATATAGATATGGATAAATGATATGAAAAGATTCGAGGCACTGTTGTTGGGGCTGTTGACTGTGAGCGTCTACTGTCTATGTCTGTTGCGACTTGGCTCAAGGCTTAGTGCGTTGAGGGTGTGTTGTCATTTAGCAATATACATCATATAATATATTAAATTATATTGTAATATATATATATACTGTATATTATTTATAATAGTATAAATATATCATTAATAATATATATATATGATTATGTAATTTAATCTATTATATGATATATATTGCTAAATGACAATACACCCTCAACGCACTAAGCCTTGAGCCAAGTCGCAACAGACATAGACAGTAGGCGCTCACAGTCAACAGCTCCAACAACAGTGCCTCGAATCTTTTCATATCATTTATCCATATATATATATAAAGGTACATTATACATATGTATACATATACATATTATATATATATATCTGTTATATACCCATTTATTAAATGTACAATATATATACATATATATATATAGCTGTAAAAAATAAATAAAAAGTATTATATATATATATATATCATAAGTGTTTCATTATTATTACATATATATCATTAATCATAATATTAGGACCATTAGGGAAACCGGATTGCATTTATGCGGCAACTGCTCAACAATATATAGAGGGTCCGTTTAAACATTTCAACACTGGTGGGGGCTCCACAGAGCGAATTTTGAAGCCAAACTTGGGGTCAAGTTCCAGTGCTTCCCTGGGAATCTAGAGAACCCCCACTAAATTCACTAAGTGGATTATCAAATGGCAGTGTTGTTGAAATTGTTGTTTGATGTTGTTTGTTTTGGTTGATCCATCACCAGGGTGTTCTTTCTTTGGCCCGTTTCAACAAAGCCAGATTGTCACAAGCCATTGGACCATCTAGTCGACAGCTTTTCTGGCATGTTTGTCATGTTGTAGCAGTTGTAGCTACAAATATCATGAGACAATTATAATACCCTCTGGTAAACATAGAAAAAACTATTGAAAATGGCCATAGAAATAGTGGATTTACCCATTAAAAATAGTGATTTTCCATAGCAAACTGATCATCATCATCATGACCTGGGGAGCGGAGGGGTTGGATGCTGCCCTTTTTGGCCACCGGCTTTGGATGTCGTCTCTGCCCGAACTAATGCGAGTGGTTGATGTTATGGTGTGAGTGGTTTGTGTGCACATGTGCTGTTTCCTTCATGTTTCAGAGCGGTTCATTTCATGCTCATGTCATTTTATGTCAGTGATAAAAGGAGTGCCACCACGCCGCCTACCATGCACTTCGCGGAATGAAGTCCATTCTATACTCAGACTGATGGATGGAACTTTTGGGGAAATGTGATGATCATGACTAGTAACGAGCAGTCTGGTGGGTATTCTTGGGTGCGAATCTCGCGGTCGACTATCATTTTCGCTATTCAAAAACCATCTTCGGCTACCAGCTGATTTTTCTGAATCAATCATTGTGAATCATGTGGTTCAATTTTGGGAATCTACTGTACCATATAATATTATATATAGTCAAAGACGCCCGGTAGGCAGAGACTTTCCTGCTTACTGCATATGGAAATTGGCTAAATTTGGGTGATATCCGGGGTTTTGACTCAGAGGCTTATGGGTCGGAGTGCTGAACTTGAGCCAATTGACCCACCCAGTAAGCAGAAAATCATGTCGTGATAACCGGTGGATAATTTTCCACCTACTTAATTCTGCTTACTGCATTCGCGTTCCTGATGGCCCATCTGCTCAAGATCACAAAAGACATCCAAGCATTGTTGTGAGTATAAATTTAAATATAAATATAAATATATATATATATAATATTTATATGTGTGTGTGTGTAAAGAATTTCAAAGGTAAGACGCGCTCCAACTCTGAAGCGGTTTGATTTTCCGCAGGTTTACATTATGTTCCTGTTCTCAAGCAGCTCTGTTTGAAAAAAATGCAATTTTAAAGGCTTTTTGTGATTTCCACTTTCCCTTCCACAATCCCCATGGCGGAGTCTGACAATGTGCTGGTGAATCTCCAACGGTGGGCACAGCATACGGTGAACCATGTCAAGGGTGGACATGGGTCTGGGGCATTGCTGTGGGAGACCCGTCCTATTGGAAGCAGCAGCATGTTCAGTGGGACCTGCTATCCAGAGCGCGCGCTAGCTTACATAGGAGCTGCGAGGAAGATGCAAGACCCAACCCTGAAAGAGTTGACCGCCCCTCGGCTTTGCTAGAAAAATAATAGACATATATATAAATATATATATGTACATATTTTCCAAAATCCATAGCCTACAGGAAGCAAAATGGTGATTCTGCTTACTCGTGGGGGCTGGAAATAGCTAAGAATTCTCCATATTTTGCAATTTTTCCCCACTTGAAAGCAAAAGGTGCTCAATTTCAAGGGTTATAGGAAGCAGACCGTTGATTTTGCTTAATGGTGGGGGCATGGAAATAGCTAAGGAACCCCTGTGGACGTGTGAGATTGACAGCAAGGCTCGCGGCTCCCAGAGGGATTCTCTTCCTCCAACTGCTTGTAAGTTTGAAAACATCGAGCATTTTATCAGCCCGGAAGCACTGGCAGAGATGAAGAAAGTGAAGATCAAACACAGCACCAAGCGATTTCAGAAATGGTGGGGGATTGCCAGTAAGGCCACAATGTGCACACATGCCTATTGTTCACAGCATCTACGCAAGCGCTTTGGCTACTTTTGTTTTTTACATTTGAGACTGTTTTGCAACGAAATCAGTAAGCAGATTCTCAAATCTGCTTACTGCAGGTGCACGCACAAGCTTATATATATATATATGTATCCATCTACATGGATAATGAAATATATGGTATATATATATATACATCTGAACCGGTGGAAAATTGGGATAGTGTTGCGCGGTTCCCCTCCAAAAATCTATGTGGGACATTTTCACTGGTTCAAAAATAACAAAATTGTGATACATAGATACTTTTCTTATATTTTTTGGGGAAACGGTCCATTTTGGCATCCCCAGGTGCCCTATCCGAGACAGTTTCCTGGACGTGACAGGGAGCATTTGCAAGAGTTTTTCATCGTTAGGCAACCTTGAAGGAGAAGATTCGGAAAATTCGATTCTGTTGGTCATTTGGATGGTATTCAACTTTCGGCGTCGCACAGCTATCTTGACCCATGAGAATGTGCGAGGATTTGTCTCACAACTCATCTCGGACGAGGCATGCAAAGCAGGTTACAACCATGTGCAGGCAAAGTGTCACCCGAGAGACGTCGGCATTCCGGTCGGAAGGCCCAGAAAGTATTTTGGCTTTAAAAAAGCAATGATCACCTTGTTTTCTCAAAGTATATTTATGTGTATTTTTACCTATGGAAACCGTTGATTATATATATATGTACTGCAGAAAGCAGAATTTGATTCTGCTAAGTGTCCACCAAGGCGTGTGAGATCTATACAGCAGGTGCAATAAATCAATGTTAGAAACTCTTTAGGGATGAAATCAAAGTCTGAACCGTTGGAAAACTGCAGTTGAGGGGCCCTGAAAATTCAACCAATTCAAACACCATTTCCAACGGTTCAGAAGGATTTAATAATCGATTTAGCCCCCGAAAATAAATTCTTTTCTGATTGTACATATATATATGTGTATATATATATGTGTGTATTTGTGTGTGTGTTGATATTTAGAAGGCAGCCCACCCAGGTTTATACAATATATGTTTTCAAACAAGCACAGGCAGTAAGCAGAAATGACAATCTGCTTACTGCAGTCATGAGATTTCAACAAAATGTGTTGTTTTTTTTTGGTAGTTCTACCGGTGTGGCAAAAACAAACTGATTTGGCCTTAAACTTTTGTTTTTGGCTTATTTTGGAAACTCAACCTTTCAGGACAAAGCAGGGCTAGGAATTCCAAAACCTTGCTTTCGGGGCTCTAAAAGTGTTCAAGCATTCTGTGATACATGTTCAATATTTGTATACGGATCCTGTCCTTTCAAGAAACAGAGAGAGCGAGGGAGAAAATTCTATATATATATATATGTTTATATTTATACAAATGGATTCCCTACTGTTTATGCATTACATTTTGCATATGAACTTATTGATAGCTTGCCAAACACACACATATATATATATATGTATTCATCATTCATTTTTATATACATATGTAATTATATGTGCTCGCCTAAGCCCCCACACTGGCGCAAAGGTTTGACATCTACTATCACCCCGACAAATTGGACCTGATCGGCGACATTGCCAAGACCTACAATGAGCTCGCAGCAGTGGTTCTTGATCAACTTGGCAAGCTGGGCATCAACGACCTCTTTTTCGAGACTGGCGAGAAAGCACTCCGCATGGAGATGTACAGGATGAGTTGCACCAGCGCAGAAGGACAGAGGGGGGTCTGCAGTAAGCAGAAACAGGATCTGCTAACTGGAAATGGGTTGACACTCAGCGAGTTTACATGGGTAAATCAGCAGACACACACATTGATGCATGTATATATATATGTATGTCTGTATGTATGTATGCATGCATGCATGCATGCATGCATGAAAGTATATGTGTCTTATTATATGTAAATATGTGATATAGTCCAGGTTCTATAAGTCCTTCCACGTGCGCAACCCCTTCGGGCTCAAGCAAGTTTTCTTTTAACTAAAACTAAATATAAGGGGATGAAAAAGAAACGACCCAGCCTGGAAGAACTTTGGAATCATGGCACGTCTGAAGATATACAAGCATATTTGAACAGTTTGAAAGGCGAGGAATCCAACAAGGAGAAGAACCTTGAGAAGGCAAGGGAACCTCCTGCTGATAAAAGGCTGAAGCAGGAAACAGAGTCCAAAAGTAACGCCATGAAGGATGAAGTAGGGACAGAAAAAGGCAAAAAAAAGGATCCCCGTGATGACCACCAAGCAGCAACCAGCAGAAACGTGGGAAAGGATGAAAACACAACAGAAGAATCAAATGTGCTCGTTCCAGGCAGATACCAGTTCGCAAAGGAGCTTGGACCTAGTTGGCAAAACAGGAAACGCCCTAAAAGGCCAGTTCCTCCAGGCCGGGTCTAAAAGTAGCCCCCCAAAAAGGAAACAGCGCATGCATGAAAAAACATAGATACACACACATACATAATCACACATTCATCATCATCCATTATATATACACATATATATAGATATACATTACATATATATGTTTGCGTGTGAATGCAACATTTGGGTTCCAAGCCCTTCTAAAGCAGCTACTGATCGTGTGTTGAGCAAGCTCTAGAGAGTTTCTTTTAGGTGTTTTCCAGTTGAGCTGCCATGGCCTTTCTCGCTGGGCTCCTTGCTGGAGTGGCCGCGTTCGCTTTGTGGCTAGTGCTTACGTTGAAGAGTACTTGGGCTACTACATTTCTGGCCAAAAGATTGATTGCGGGCATGAGCACAGGGCGCAAGCGAGAAATTTTAGTCTTTATCACCAGCTACGTGCAAGATGTGGCTATTGATTCTGACGATGATCACTGGTCTTTGGTTTCAGAGGAGTCTCCCTCTTCCTCTCCTCGAAATTATACAACTTGTCGACATTTGAAGGCTACGTGGCATGGCTCAAACCAATACCAACGACGCCTGACGTGCAAAATTTGTGGAAAGATTTTGTATTTCCAGGATTTACGGGCAGCACCGAAGTCAGCCAAAAAGTTGAAGAAATCAACCAAAACGGCTTGATTTTGCTATGGTGTTTTCTGCAGAACTCTCTCAAAAGAGACTTTGATCAAAATTGAATTCCCCTTTTACAGACCGTTCATCGCTGCAGGGCAAAAGACAGTTATAGTAAGCAGAATGCCAATTCTGCTTACTGCATTCCCTGATGTGGGATGTGTGTTTGCAGGGTATAAGTTATATAAGCATCTACGTATGTCTTGTCTACGTATATATACCCAAAAAATGCAGATGTGGATGTTTTACATGAGGGACCTTCTCTTTCTCTCTCTAATATAAACATATATGGATATATACATATGTTTATATCATATGAAAAATACAGCTAGATATATAGATAGATTTTAAATGCTCATGAGCATGTGCAACTATATATTCCGTTCTGCCCCAGACCTTTAACAAAATGGGTTTGTTTAACTTGAAGTTGTTGGCCACAATATTGAATCACAAGCTATTTTCATGGGCTCAGCAGGCAACATATATATTTATATTGTAAAATTTGATGGACTACACATATTTCTGGCAAAACATGCATTTCCCGTTGGATTCCATCCAATCAGTCCTTCTAAAACCAGCAATTGCAGTAAGCAGAATCTCAAATATGCAAACAATAACCCTGGGTTTTTCAACAGTGTTTGCAACCATATATATATATATATATATGTCAGCAATTCTGCACCGGCCAGGAGACCCAGAAACTATGGATGTTTCTGATTGGACCACGCTTCTCACTGGCAAGGAAGCAACCAACCTTGAGAAGTACAGGGAGAAGCTGCTGGTCAGGAAAGATCGCGTACGGGTTTTTCATGTTTTTCCCTTTGAAACCTATCTATGGGGAGGAGCCGAAGTATTGATTTTGTGCGTGTGTGTGTGTGTGTTCTGACCCCTTCCTCCATTTTGAAGTTTTTTTTTGCAAATTGTTTTACAATCCATATATATATATATATTGATACAGTTCATGTTTGATCGTTTAAGGATTATTGCCTGAACTTTAACGAATTGCAGCGTGGAATGAAGTAAGCATAATACTGGTAAGTGTAGATAGGCACACGAAGGCAGGTCAAGACCAAAAATGTGTATAGGTAAGACCTTTTTGAACTTGCCGGGGTCAAGAAACAAGGTTTCACGCAAAATATGGAGACCTTGATCTACCAGCAGTTTTTGCATTGGCGCAAAACCCAGACAAGATGCCAACGATGACTTCAGCTCAGGGCCTGTTACCTTGCTTTACCACCACTGGGACCAACAGGTTATGGCATGATGGGTTGAAACGCTGGATGAGTGCTCGAGAAAAAATGTGTGCCAGCGGTCTCCCTGTGACAGAGGAGCAAGCGAAAGCGGCAAACATCCCGAGACATGCAGATTGGGAAGCTGATTGGGGGTGGCACAAGAGGGTGGGAAACGGCCAGCAACTTCAGAATGTGGGGCTCATCTTGATTGCCATCCTGTCCAACTTGAAGCTCAAGGACACAGCCCCTTCCAACATCTTGGAGCTCCAGCCCCCTTCGGAACCAGAAGGACTAACACCGCTCAAGGATGGATCCTACTTGCTTTCCATCGCTGGAATTGGATTCAAACTGGCCACCAAGGATCTTGCCTTGCAAGCACACCAAGCCTTGCATGTGCCTTTGCTGCGTTATATAATACTCTTCAAATTGTCACACAACAAACCACTGCAGTAAGCAGATTCCAAATCTGCTTACTGTATAACCAACCAGTGTAGTCGTTTTTCCCTCGACAAATGAACGTACTTGAAAATAAACATGACGAAATGTCAATTTCCAACACAAATTGTGACCGCAGAATGCCATGGCAGAATACATATATATATAATTCTCATCAAAGTTTGAACCCTTGGAAAAATTGACGTTTGGGTCATATTCAAACCCCAAAGATGGTTCATAAAAAGCAACAACATAACCCCTTCATTTGATTTTCAAGGGTTCAAAAGAAGCTATTTGATAACATAATATACGTATATATATATATATATATGCATGTGTATATATATATCATGTTTTCTTCATGTGTGTATTCTTCATGGGATGGATTACTGCATACACTCTATCCCAAGCAGTATTGCCCCCCGATAGAAAGCAGAATCCTGATTCTGCTAACTGCAAAGGAGAAGAATCTTGAGCTGCGGAGCATGAACGTTCCAGACTTGGCACTTGAAATGGCCAAACTCGTGACCGGTGGGGTGCCAGCTTCATTTCACAAAGCAAAGAAGGATGGCAAAAAAGAGCAAGTTCTTCAGCAATGGTTTCAGCAGGTTCTCATCCCCAGCTATGAAACTGAGGGGGGGGGAGGCCTCAAGCAATTGTCAGCTGAAAAACCACCCAAGAAAGGAGAGAAAAGCACAGAACCGACACCGTCAGCCAAGAAGCTAGACACCCTAGAAAGTTTGCAGGGCCACAAGCCAGAGGTTCTTCCCGGGGTGGTTGAGGAGACACCAGAACTGATGGCAAGGATCCTGATTCTAGGTCAAAACTGGGCAGATCTTGTGATGGCAGGAGAAAAATGCATCGAGTTGCGAAAGACAAGGATATCTTCTTGTAAGCAACCAGAAATGATGTACTTGGGAGTCAAAGATACAATTTTTGCTCGGTGCCTAGTTTGCCCTGGTGTGAAAATCGAGAACGAAGAGCAGTTCAACATGTTGAGGAATGGTCACCGATGGGAAGGTGAGAAGCTTCCCTACGGCTTCCCGTTCATGGGGCATGCCTTGTTGCAGGTTCAGGCATTGAAGCCTGTTGAATTTCAAAGGGTGTGGGGCACTATTGGTAGGGCCTTGTATCGGCCTCCTGGTTTCGTGGGGCTTCCCGAGGATGGAGAAGAGGAAGGAAAAGGCTCTTCAGGCTCAAAGGTTGCAGAAGAAGATGCACAAGACAAAGGAGAGGCAACAAGCTCAAAAGGCAACGTGGCCAAGAAAAAGGGATCTCAAAAGGAAAAGACAGGCAAAAACACGACAAAGACCAAGCAGAACCAAATCAAATGCCTTCCACCATCTGCGCTTGAAGGCCAAACGGTGGAGACAGTTGAGCCTACCGAGCACCTTCAACCTAGCTCGCAGAGGCTTGAAGCAAAGCAGAAGCAATTGCAAAGGAAAAGGGATGCAGACAAGGCTGATGTTCACATCTCGGGAGGGGCCTTGGCACACCTCAACAACCTTGCCTTTCCACGCGGTCCCTCAAAGACAGCTGCCTACTTGTTGGGGGAGGTTGGCAAAAAAAAGTCTGTTTCAGTGAAGTCTCTCTGGATTCCAAGTTGGGAGGCGCAGGGTGAGATGGAGAAGTGGACTGTGAAAGAAGCCGGTTTGAAAAAATGGGCAAAAACTTTCCGACCTGCTCTGGCAGTGGTGGGGCTTTGCCTGGTGGTGCCAGATCAGGACACTCCTGAAGTGTCAGCGCTCATGGCCTTTGATCAAATTTTGAAAGAAGCTTCCCCAAAGGAGCTGATCTTTGGTTTGGTTGGAAAAGACAAGTATTGCAAAATGTACCACATCGTCGAAGATGTTGCACAAGAGTTACACCTTGAAGTTCACTGGGTGGGAGATGCCTCCCTCTACACTGCCCACGTGGTAGCTCAAGAGCTGGAAGTGTTTGAGAAGGTCAGAGAGCAAGCCAAGGCATCAATTGAGAAAAAGGGCGTTTGTCAGAGCGTCCAAGCCAAAAAGAAGCAGCAGAACGAAAAGAGAAAGCCACCGCAAGAGGACAGTGAAGAAACCAGAGTCACGGCAGAAGTGAGCTTGAGGAAAATAGCAGAGCAACTCCAGAATTTGGCAATTTTTTTGCTGGAAAACTTGCAGAATTTCAACCAGGAACGTGACGCCAGCATGCAGAGCAAATATGCAGAATGCTTGGCAGCCTATCCCTTGGCACAGCTTGAGCTCAGCAAAGTTACACCCAAATCAAGCATGTGCCCAGAAAGTGTGCAAGAGGCAGGGCAGAGAATGGCAACAGTTCTGCAGCTGAAGGGCACCCTGGAGCTTCGTCTGGCAAAAAGGCAAATGAATCAATCCCACACCTACGATGGTTGCAAATATCTCAAAAGGTCTGTTACCAGTCAATGCAGCAGCACATCCACACGAAGGTCCAAGCACAGCAGGACTGCTTCCTCTTTGTCTACACCAGCAAGCGAGAAGGGAGATTCTGCACCCACCGAGGAGGAGAATTGGGTGGGAATTTGACACCGACATGTGTTGGTATGCTTCTGAAAGCTAGCTTACTAATATGCTTTCAAACATGCTGGTACATTAGATTTTTGTACATGCATAAAACAAATAATATATATATATATATATTATATATTTTTTTTTGAAGCTATTTAGCTAATCAAAGTTGTTTCATTATCGTCATTCATGGTCTCGCTGCGGAACCACCCCTTTGACACAGGAACATGCGAAGAGCCTGTTGCAACCCAGAAGCTTGAACAGTTCGTTTGAGGAGGCAACTTCTCCGGGTGTTTCTTGGGAAGTACCCTGAATTCGCTTTGGGCCTCCTATATTTTATTATAATTCCTTGCAAATTGCGCAGCTCATTGATAGATGCACGTCCATGGGTCGAGAACAATATCTTTTGCTTATCTAAAAGGCCGAAGTAGTATATATCTGCACACTGTACAAACACTTGGGGACTCCGCTCAGGAACTGTTTGCATGCCTGCCCCGGTGAGGTTGCTGATGGCAAAGATGTACCGCCTCCTCTTTGTGATTTCGAGGATGGACTTTTTAAAGATCCCTGTCACAAGTACCAAAGAAGTCTACCATCATAGGGGAATCCGGTAGCTACTGCAGTAAGCAGATTCCAAATCTGCTTACTGTATAACCAACCAGTGTAGTCGTTTTTCCCTCGACAAATGAACGTACTTGAAAATAAACATGACGAAATGGCAATTTTCCAACACAAATTGTGACCGCAGAATGCCATGGCAGAATACATATATATATATATATAATTCTCATCAAAGTTTGAACCCTTGGAAAAATTGACGTTTGGGTCATATTCAACCCCCAAAGATGGTTCATAAAAAGCAACAACATAACCCCTTCATTTGATTTTCAAGGGTTCAAAAGAATCTATTCGATAACATTGTATATATATATATATACACATAAATCTATCTATTTACCTATCTATCTATCTATCTACCTATCTATCTATCTATCTATTTATCTATCTATCTATCTATCTATCTTTGTGTATATATATATATATATTGCATGTTTTCTTCACGTGTGTATTCTTCATTGCATTGTTTATATACATGAATTTCATCATTTTCATTGATTTTTCAATGCTGTTGCATGTTTAAAAAAAAAAACATTGTTTTCAGTGTTTCTAGATGATTTTTTTTATCACGTTTCATTGTTTTGTTCAATGTTGTTTAATTGATTTTCATTGTTTTGTTCAATGTTTTTCAATGATCTTCATCATTTTTCATTGTTTTAAACCAACATTCAAACACAATTACAATGATGAAACATATGTCAAAAACATTGAAAAAGCAATAACATATGATTAGAATCATGTAAAAAAATACGAAAAGCAATGAAAAATATGAAACACATGTAAAAAAACATCGGAAAAACAATGAGAAAGTAGCCACTGCAGTAAGCAGATTTGGAATCTGCCTACTGTCTGCTGCATGAAAAATGATGAAAGCATTGAAAAAACATCAAAAACATGATGAACACATTGAAAAAACAATGAAACATGATGAACACATTGAAAAAAACAATGAAAAATGATGAACATATTGGGAAAAAAACAATGAAAAAATGCTGAACACGTAAAAAAACAATGAAGAATGATGAACACATTGAAAAAAACACTGTAAAATGATGAGCACATTGAAAAAAACAATGAAAAATGATGAAAACATGAAAAAACAAAGAGAAACACAATAGACAAATGATGAACACATTGAAAAAAAAACAATGAAAAATGATGAGCACATTGAAAAAAACAATGAGAAATAGAAAATACATGCAAAAAATATCGGAAAAAACCATGAGACAGCAGCCACTGCAGTAAGCCAGACGCTGTCGGGTCGAAGTCCTCGGGCTTTTTTTTATATTGTTTTTTCAATATTATCAGTATTTGTTCATTGTTTTCTCAATATTTTCATCATGTTTTTCTTTTTTTCAATGTGTTCATCATTTTTTCATGCACCAGACAGTAAGCAGATTCCAAATCTGCTTACTGCAGTGGCTGCTGTCTCATGGTTTTTTCCGATATTTTTTGCATGTATTTTCTATTTCTCATTGTTTTTTTCAATGTGCTCATCATTTTTCATTGATTTTTCAATGATTATTCCATGTTTTTAAATTGCCTTTCATCATTCTTCAATGTTTTTCAATTGTTTTTCATCATTGTCATTTCTTCAATGTTTTTCATCATTTTCCACTGATTTTCTAATGTTTCTACATTTCCATAGATTTTTGATAATTGTTTACATGTGCTTCATCATTTTTCATTGATTTTTTTTAAATGTTTTATCTATATTTAAATAATCGTATATTAACGGCTTTAAGTAGCTAGAAAACATGAATGACGGGTTGCGTGCATTTGCTAGGACAACAAGTCCGATGACGAGATGAAGGGGGCGGCTATGGTGGATGAAGCTGTGTATGAGGCTCCAGGGCTTGAGGCTTGAGGGTGAAGCAGAAATCAGAACTGTATGGATCATTACATGTACATATCTGTATATATTTGAAGACTATGTGTAGGACAGATCTTCTTTAAAGGATCCCATTACAATTATATACCAAACAATGTTTAGCCATGGGGAACCCGCTAGCTACTGCAGCAAGCAGATTTGGAATCTGCTTACTGCAGTCTGCACTTGTTTTGGTGCCTCCAGCAACCCTACGCTCTGTAGCGCGTTCGTTCTGCCCAATTATACGTATACAAAAATAAATATCAGTATAAACATGAATAAATACACATATATATATATATATATGTATAAATATATATATATATATATTTATTTAAATATATTTGTAAAATATTTATTTATTTATATATATATATATTTATTTAAATATTATCTAAATATTATATGTTTCATATATATATATAGTCGATAGAATATATATATATATATATATGCAATTTCAACAAAAATGTTGAAACAAATTGCAGTTTTTGCCAAAACCACCCAAAATGCAGCCCTTCAGGAAGACCCTGCGAAGCAAGATGAGATGAGACTTGTGCCTGCTGAGCCCCATGTGCAGGCGCTTGGGTTGGGATTGAGGCGAGCACAAAATCTGAACCGTTGGAAATTTTGGCATTTTTCTTAGACCCCAACCAATCCATATATATATAGTTATATAATAAGTTCGAGCCATTTTCAACTGTTCAGAAAGAATTGGCCCATACAAAAAGTATTGAAGATGGGGTTTCCGGTGTTTCAATATTGGACAACAGTATAGTAAGCAGATTTGCAGATCTGCTTACTACACACATTCTGTTTTGAGGACCCCTTCCATGATTAATGTATATATGGACGGGTGTGTGAGAGTTGGGAAGCCTGGGGAACACAAATTTCTGCCAGTCGACAAGATTCCAAAACAACATATATATATATATATGCTCGTGCATTTGTATAATTCTATGTAATTATATATATATATATATGTGTATATACATCTTTTTTACTTACTGCATGTGTGTTCAAAAATGAATATATATATATATATATCTCTATCTATCTATCTCTTTGTAGACATGCATAGAAGTATATCCATATTTTTTTTTGCATTTACCCTGCAGGAGGCTGTGGAAGAGGAGGGCGACCCCTCTGGAGAGGAAGATGAGGAACCGGAAAAGAAAGGTCGCAGTGACCCCAGGAACCGTTTTAGCATTTACCAAAAGATGCAGGCAATCAGAGAGATGGACCGATTGATTGAAAGCGGCCAAACAACTGGAATAGAAAAAGCCGTGATGAAAACATTTCCAGCGATTTTTTGTGGCTTGAAGGGAAACAAGAGTGGCATGTTGGGCCGTTGGAAGACACAGTGCGACAAACAGCGCTGGAGGGAAATCCCCTTTGAGAAGCTTTCAGTCGCTGACAGGCAAATGAAAGAATTGCCTGATTGGGTCAGGATTCCCTTGGGTTTGGTCCCTCGCAACTTGGAGCGCTTCAGGGAAGGTGGACAAGTGCCAGTTTGCATAGTCAACCAGCTGGTTGATCTTGTGGAGAAGCTGACAACTGGCTGTAATTCTGCTGCTTTGACAACAGGTACTTTGAATAGCAAGCAAATCCAGAAAGAGGCAGAGAGGCTCCTGAAAATCTACAACAAAGCACAAGAGGAGGCAGCTGAAGCAGCAGGAAAACCAGTTCCTCTAGCAAAAACCAAGATCTCTGACAGGTGGGCCAATCGGTTGTTGGTGAACTATGGGTGGAAACGCCACGCTCCAAACACATATGGCGCATACCTGGCTTACGACGACGAGCGCATGGTGAAATCTCGCAAAATGTTTGGATTCAGAAGGTGGGTGGGGAGCTATATGGGTGTTGTTTTCAACTTGTTTTTCCCCAATGAAGGCCTGAAGACAGGATAGCCCCAGTAAGCAGAATGTAAATCTGCTACCGATACAAGTGTATAGGTTTGTGCAGAAATTCAGGGTAGTTTGTGCTACCCCTGCAGGTTGGCCAACAACATCCGCTTGGACCTGTGCATCAACTTTGACCAGGTTTGGAAAAGTTCATGGGCAGAACCCAAGAGGGTTCTCCACCGTGTGTTTGACACAAATTGCCCAGCCCACCTACTGAGGGGCAAGAGGGAGTCTGCTGTGAAATTCTTGATGGGGCTACAGGAAAAGGCCAGCCAATGGCAAGTCAAGAAGAGAAGAATTCAAGGAAAGGGTTGCTTCCCTGTTTCACGCTCTTGCTGTTAATATATATATATATACACACACATACATACATATTAAATAAGGGAGCCACTGAGGTCACTGACACGCACACACAAATACATATGTATGCATGTACATACATATACATACTGTACATATATATAAATATGTACATCTACCGTGGTGGCAGGAAAAGAAAAAGATGCCAGGGCAGACAATGTGAGTTCTGCCCGGCACTCCTTCACACTTGTGACGTCCTTGTGGGGAAATGGAGAAGTGGGACCGTTGACGATCGCACTCCTTCACACTTGTGACGTCCTTGTGGGGAAATGGAGAAGTGGGACCGTTGACGATCGTCCTACCCTTGGGTTTTCTCAAAGATGAGGAACGTGCTGATTTGGAGAGAAGGTTCAAGCCTGATGTGTTTTTTGTGTCATCGGGTCGTGCCTCCCACTTTATGAACGCGGAGGTGGTGGTGCAATTTTTTGACCACGTTCTTGTTGAGGCATTTGATCAACGCAGGCGCGTGCTTGGCGAGCGCTACGGCCAATCCTTCGAGTCAGAATGGGGCCTCATTCTGTGCGACAGTTTCACTGGACATCACTCAACCTCTGGGGGGGCAGATGTCCAGCGTTGCTTGGCAAAATATTTGATATACATAGCCACACATATATATATACAAATTTGTTGAGGAAAACAGTTGATTATGTGTGTACTCTGCAGTAAGCAGAATTTGATTCTGCTAAGTGCCCAGCAAAGCTTGTTAGATCTATATAGCGGGTGTGAGAATCAAATTTATAAGCCCTTTGGGGATGACATCAAAGTCTGAACCGTTGGAAAAACTCCAATTTGAGGGGCCCTGAAAATTCAACCAATTCCAAAAGCATTTTCAATGGTTCAGAAGGATTTAACCGATTTAGCCCCCGAATTTTGTGTGTTTTTTTAAAAAATATATATATATATACGTATGTGTATGTGTGTGTATGTGTCGATATGTAAAAGGCAGTCCACCCAGGTATATACAATATGTGTCTTCAAACAAGCAAAGGCAGTAAGCAGAAATGAAAGTCTGCTTGCTGCAGGCATGGGATTTCAACAGCATGCCCTGGTTTTTTTTGTAGTTCTACCGGTGTGGCAAGAACACACCAATTTGGTTTTGAACTGTTGTTTTTGGCTCATTTTGGAATCTCAACCTTTGGAAACTCAACCTTTCCAAAGCAAGGCTAGGAATTCCAAATCTATAGTTGAAAGAAACTATATACTTTTTTGAATGGTTGGTAGAAAGAAGGTTTCACAAAAAATGTGAGGGTCAAAGTTGTGTTTTGCAGGTGTTGTGTCCCCGTGAGCGGCACAAATGAGGTGAACACTTTTCAAGAAACAGCCGTGTGCTGCTGCCGGACAGGCAGCCAGGAGGTTGGTCTGCACGAGGTCAACCGTGCGACGCTGTGCATGCAACATTGAGAAAGTACATGGCGGAATACACAGAGACAACCCTGGGTTATCGAAACTCTCTGATTGCAAGGGCCAGTAAAGACCCACTCCTGATGTCCAACTCAAACACCCGCTTGGCCATTTCACATGTAGACTCCGTGCTTTCAGCAATCTATGGCTGGAGAAAGTTGGGGTTGCAAAAGCACATGTTGAGGCAGGGGTGAACCAGTAAATGCCGAAAATAGGTTCCATTGGTAGGCAAAGTCACACTTCAGCATATCAAAAAAGGAAGACCCACTAGTTAGCAGAAAAACAACTGCTTACTACTGTAGATTCATTTTTGTTACCTTAGTTTTTGGGTGTCGGTTGCTGATGGCAGGTGGGCATGGCTAAGCCGTGGGATGGCTACGTATGATGACATGCAGGAGTTCAACCCGGGGATCGAGGGCATGGACAAGGAATCATTGAAGAAGGAGATGAGCGCTTGTGAGCTCAACGCCGAAAATTCTGAGACGTGGACATCATCCATTGAAGAGGTCTTTATGCAACCAGACGTTCAACGGACAACCTTTCTCTGGCAAATTGATCTCAAAAGCGAAGCTGAGGTAGCGTGGGAGGATGAAGAAGAAGACCAGGAGTTGAATTGGAGGTGTTTGCCAGCACATTGGCAAGCCATTCTCAACTCACGACTTGCAGAGTTCAACTCGAAGATTCAGGATGCAGAGGCATTCTATTTGCATCGCAAAGGAGAGTTTGGCGAGGGGGACGTGAAGACCAAAAATGCACTCAAAAAATGGGAGTCTTTGAAAGAAGGTGAAGGAGCAAGCAGCGTCATCTTGATTGCAAAGGGCACTGGCAAGGAGGCTTCACCCGAGGTCTACCACAGAGCTGTCTCCCGCTCGAAAGGTGTAGTCAAAGTACAGTGTGGACCAAAAATCACGGCATACAAGCTGAATGTGAAAGAAATGAACCTAGAATGTATGGACAGCACTAGCACTGAGGAAGATGGGAAAGTGCAGCGTGATGCAGTGAGAAAGTTGCGGATTATTTCGGTCACAGGCCGTTCCAGGGAGTTGCAAGAAGTTCGCATTCACTTGACGGCTTTATCCTTGGCAACCAGTGATGTCCTGCAGAGCAGTGGACTACAACCCAGCAAAGGGGCAGCTTGCAACCTTGACATCGACAACATGGGCCAGACCGGTGACGACCATGAGACAAAGAGTGAGGAGCAGCAACCAGGACATACCAGAATGTGTTTTGTTCATGCCAAGCCTACAGTAAGCAGAAACAGATTCTGCCAACTGGCCCCGTTAAATATACACGCTACTTATTACACGCAAAATATTGAACAGAAATATATATATATGTAAAGAGGGAGAGAGAAGATAGATGGAGGGATACAGTCAATAATAATAATAAAAATAATATATAACAATAATAATATATAACAAGAATAATATATAATAATAATAATATAAGATAATAATATATAATAATAATAATAACAATAATAATATATATATATACATCTCCACACATACACATTTATAAGCTCTTTGGGGATGAAATCAAAGTCTGAACCGTTGGAAAAACTCCAATTTGAGGGGCCCCTGAAAAATTAACCAATTCCAAAACCATTTTCAACGGTTCAGAAGGATTTAACCGATTTAGCCCCCGAACAAAAAAAAAGATTATATATACACATGTATATATATATATATGTATATGCATGTGCATATATATACATATATATGTAGATATTTGGAAGGCAGTCCACCCAAGTTTATGCAGCAATTGTTTTCAAACAAGCAAAGGCAGTAAGCAGAAATGACAATCTGCTTACTGCAGTCATGGGATTTCAACAAAATGTGTTGTTTTTTTTGGGTAGTTCTACCGGTGTGGCAAAAACAAACCGATTTGGCCTTAAACTGTTGTTTTTGGCTTATTTTGGAAACTCAGCCTTTCCAAAGCAGGGTAAGGAATTCCAAATCTATAGTTGAAAGAGATGTTTTTTGAATTGTTGGTAAAAAGAAGGTTTCACAAACAAAAAACATGGTTGTCAAAGGCCCTAAGAAGGTTCCAAACTTGTTTCAAGGCAGTAAGCAGATTCCAAAATCTGCTTACTGCAGCCCCCAGCTCAAAGTGCATGAGTTCCTGGTGTTTGTAAGCAATTTTGATTGCAGTCTGCAGGAGAGGGCGCAGACGGCGACAACGTGGAAGAGCAACTCGTTGCATTGAATCAGGACGAAGGGGGATTTGAAGCTGCAGAGGATGGGCTGGAAGCCAACATCCCCATCGACCCTGAGGAAGAGGAGCACAACGCAAAAGAGTCGATCAATGTTGACAAGGGCGATGACTTTCCCTGCTTTGGCCAATCTCAGGATGATGCTTCGGACGAGGAGATTGTGTATGAGTTCAAGGATTGTGATGCCGCCTTTGAATGCGTGGCCACAGAAGCGACGTCTTCCTCTGAGCCGGCACCAGTTGGAGTGTCACCAGCTGGCACCATCAAGACTATGGCAGCTTTCATGTTTTTGGAGCAAGTTGGGCTTTCTGAGATTCCCAACGTTCCAGGTGTTGGGATGGGGGTTCACACTACCACCCAATGTTGGCAAATTCGCTACCCTCGTGCAACTGGCAAGCAATCAGCCGGCAGGTGTTGGGGTGACCTCAAAAAAAAGGGGTTTGTGCCTCCTTGCCGTGCACTGTTGGAATGCTTGCTTTGGTGTTGGGAGGTCCATTTGGCCGAGAATCCCACGTGTGCTGTTTCGGCTGGAAAGATCCAGCTTTTGAAAGGGGCCATAAAGGCTGATTTGGGACGTGACGTCAAATAGTTTGTGCAATGTTTATAGATTCTCTTAGAGTTCAACACACCCTTGTTTTTTCTTTGGAAAGGCTTGCGCAATCCTGCACGGATATCCCAGTTTGCACGACCGTACATTAGATCTTGAAGATCAATCAAGACTCAAGACAAGAAGGGGGAAGAAATTGGAGAAAAAGGCGCGGTGAGAAGCAGTGGGGGTTGGTTTCCAGCAAATCAGGGGGAAAAATGATAAACCAGAGCATTTTTTTCCGTTTTTGCCATCCTCCAAGCCAGATTTACAGTAAGCAGAAATTCAAAAAGGGGGGTTCATGATTTCCCACTTTCCAGTAGGCAGATTTGGCACTATGAAGGAAAGGTTTTTTTTTTGACTCATAACCAAATTGGTACCCCATCTGCTATCTGTTTTGCTTGGGACAAACTCTGCCTACCGGATGACCTTGACTATATATATATTGTAACATTGCAAAAGCCTGGGTTCACCCGGGCAGTCCCGTCGATGTCAGTGTCCCAAATCAAGGTATCTACATGACCTCGGGCCGCAAGGTGGGAGCCATAACCATGGAGGGTGAAAGCTATCAACTTATATCTGGACCACCCTGGATCCACACGGATCATTACTTGAAATAGCCATCTCAAATGTATTTGATATAGTGATGGCAAAAAAAATAGCGATCCAGACTAATTTAGTATATATTTGTAGCACTATGACTGGATCTTTACTTATATCTATAGTGATCGAACATGTGTGATGTGTCTGGATATGTCTGGATCCACGTTCTGACCCAATCTTGAAATAAAGAAATCGGAATCCAATGAGGTACCAAGGGACCACAAAGTGAAACAAGATGTTCATGCTCACTCATAAATGTTCAACTTGTACCCCTGATTTTGATCTACACCGGCCTGGGAGTGAAATATCTGTCAACCTCTTGGTATCCTATTTATCGAGCAAGTCACCAGGGAACTACCAGGAAATAGATGTTAGAATTCCATTCGTGAATTCCATTCCAGCCAGCCTTTTTTCAGCCTTTAGCCACCACCGGGCGCCCGACTTAAGGTGTTGGTGTTCTCACCAATAAGTCGCTTTCCTTGTCGCCTCTCCTTTCAGTGAAATGGACCGAGTCTGGGAGTTTGAATTCCCAAGACTTAGACATGTTCGCAATGAATTGGATTCGTCATTTGAGTCCATTTCACTTTTCATATTGGACTTAGAATGACTTAGACATGTTTCAATTTTGGAAAATATGATATCACTTAAGTCCTCTTGATGAACGACACATCTGTACTTTACCTTCACTATACTCAAACTGGTTGGGTCAACCAATGTCGCAACATATCTATGCTGTCCCACGCCGCCCTGAAATGCATGTTTGGAAGAGGGAAACCAACAGTTTAAGCTTTCCCAACAGTTCTAGAATTTTGTCTGATGCTATATATAGACTCAGACGAAGAACATACAGATGCTGGAATCGAAGAACTGCAACCCAAGATGGCTCCAAAAATCAGAACCTCGGAACCTCGCGTCCAAGAAGTTTTTCAGTTTCTGTCGTCTCAATGATCAAAACACACCGTTTTCCTGGTGATACCCCCATTCTTGTCTACATTTTGCTACTTCAATTCCCCTACAAGGTGGTGCCCGTGGTGCCCCATAATTGGCTAACTTGGTTTATAACTCTAATAACTATGGTTTATGGTAGATATATCTATACTTACTAAGGTTATAAACCAACTTATAACTGGGAGGGCACCACCTTGCAGTTGGTGTTTATCCACCTCCTTGGCTACGATTCATATTTCTGCCGGGATTCAGCGTAATGAACATGCGGTTGAGATTGCTGAAGCCTGATTGATTACTGCAGTTGGGGGTCATACTCCCAAAAAGATATATTGGAGTGTCTGAAAACTTAAAATATGGGTAGGCTTAGATCATCCGCGTCATTTTTGGATTTTCCATGATTATCCATTATCTTATCATTATCAAATATAATTTTCCATGATTATCCATCATCTTTTCCATTATTCCAATATGATTTCCATGATTATCAACCAAACCCCCATATTGTAATCTTTGTAGCCAGGAGTCTGTGAAAGTGGGTCACCGTCCAACTGATCGAAAAATCAGGAACTCCCAATGTTTGATGATTAACCCTGGCACTAATTGGGGGTTTCCCAATAGCTGGATGGTTTTTTTGAGGGAAAATACCACTAACATGGATGATTTGGGGATACCCCTATCAAATAGGAAACCTCCAATTGTTGTTGACTCTTTTACCAGCTAGTTCTTTGTATAGACCTCAAAAACATTCAAAAACAACACTGTAAAACTTGCTGAGAACCATCCAAATCCAACTCTACTTGGCAAAGGTCACTCGACCACAAACCCCCGGATACCAGCCTTGATTTGTCCGGCTGGAGGCAGAGTTTCGGGTCGGATGCGTTCCGGCATGATCCACACTTCCTGTAGGCGATTACGGCTACCCTTGGATCTCTGTGTTTCTGTTAAGCTTGAAAGCAGACACCATGTTTTTGTTTGCCCACCATGAAAACAGGTGTTCCATACGTTTTTTTCCTGATATCAATTGCAGAATTGGAATGGTGGTATCTAATAGCCCATGCGACACCAAACACCCGGGGCATAGCTTGGAACAATGCATGGTGCTGAGCTTAGATATGCCTGAAACAAACCAATGTAATTATATACGATAGCAAACCCCAAAACAAATAGGGATGACAATCAAATATTGATGAATATACCCTCCGGTGTCATCAAACATGGCATTTGGAAATCCAGACACCACATAGAGCTTCATAGCTGGGAGATTCATCTATAAATGGTGGATTTTCAATTGCCACGTTTGATGACACCAGAGGGTAGTTCATCAAGTTTTAGTGGGTTTACTTTTCAGCATCTTTTTGTGGGTTGCTATTCAATTATTTTTCATAGTCAGGGTTTGTCGATCCTGGGTAAAACTTAAATGATGCAATCTGCAACCTGGTAGGTATTTTCACATCAGCATAAATCCCAGCAAGGATCTAGCACGTGGAAAAAAAAGGTACGAACACCTACTAAAATACTAGAAAAAATGGTTAAGACAAATACTTTTCTTAAACCATTTCAAAACTATTGGCATTTGGAAACATAATAATCCTTGATCCTTAAAAATGTTTGGAAACATACTTTTTAGAAACCATTTCAAAAGGGTAAGAACGATGCCCAGCAGGGGATTTGAGGTTCAATCAAATTACAAAGTTGCCTGCAGAGTATGATTCCGATAAATCCCCTTTTTTGTGGCCAACCTCTAACCCCAAAAAATGGTGTGGGACAAAAATTGTGTCCATCCAAACTTGGCTTATCCTCATTTTCATGTCAAGGTTCTTTTTCGGATCGTTTTCCGACATTTTAGGGACCAGAAACCGGGGAAACTATAACCATCTTCAAAAGAAGTTCACCGAAACGCGTTTCCAGGAGGTTATAGATTATATCATTATATATGGGTATGGATCAATACCTATTAATACCATTTTTAGTGGGATGAACATCCATTTACCAGCTATTTTGATGCTCACCAGGGGTACAAGGTTTTGACACACTGCCATATCTAATGTGGTTAAAACAATAATAAACTACCCATGACTTGGAATGTTTTATACCACCTATCAACATGGTAATTTGGGGATGGTTATTATTGTTTTAACATGTTCCCCGCAACCCCCTGGTTCGCTCACACTCAAACAACACATCCAAACAATATGATGATATGCTTATCACCAGAGGATGAATGAAAACACTGGCTATACGCAGTGATTTTGACTTTAAGTTTTCAGGATTTAGGGCTTTAATTTAGGGTTTAAGGTTTTAGGTTTTAGGGTCTTAGGTTTTAGGGTTTTGGTGTTTGTTGTTTTGGAAAGTTAAAAACTTAAACCCTGCGCAGGGATTTGAGCATGTCAAAGGATATGCGGGATTGGCCGCGGGCAAATCTAGGGGTTGCAGCGAACATGTCTTAACCACATGAAAAAATTCTCTATAATTCATATTTCCAGGTTTTCCAGTTTTCTACTGGTTGGTGGTTTCAACCCCTCTGAAAAATGATGGAGTTCGTCAGTTGGGATGATGACATTCCCAACTGAATGGAAAGTCATTCAAAATTCCATGGTTCCAGTCACCACCAACCAGATAATATTAATCATTGATTATCATTATTAACCACTATTAACCACTTTCCAGGCTTTCCAGTTTTCTATGACTGGTTTTTCCAACCAGCATGAAACGCGAAATGACTCGGTCCTCAACTTTGGCTTTGTAGATCTCTCGCTCTGTGCAGCGTGGATTCTTGGGATGAATTGGAACGTCTCGACCTTGGACAGTGTGAAGTTCTACCCCTCCAAGGAGCCCCCAAGGAAAAATGGGTTTTTTTGGGGGAGAATCATGGCAAAATCCTGGGAAACTATGAAGAATCCATTATGAATGGAGGTTTGCTGGGAAAAATCATCGAGAAAATGGTTTTCCAGCTTGCAATGTTTGATTTTCAGAGGGTAGACAAAAGTTGAAGAATCACTGTGATCAGGGACCTTCTAGGATGATTTGAGCGGAGTCAATGACTCAAGCTCGATCTTGGTAGCATGCCAAATGAGCATTTAAAAATAGTTCGTCTTCCCATCTTATTATACTAGTTGGTTGATAGGTTTACCTACAATGAGTTACAATAACCAGGTAGTATAACTCCTTGTAATAACTAATCAACCAGGGTATGTCCTATAAACTCCCTAAACATTCCCTATGAATGAAATCCCGATAAAATCCGAGGGCTCAAATTTGATTCTTTGCAAAAGATCAAAGCTTCTAAAAGTGTTTACTGTTTACTGTCATGATTATGTAACATCTAAACAATACATGAAACATTACCATCTTTCAAAACTGAAAATATTAATGGGAATTGTTAACCACCACAAGGTGGTGCCCCGTTCGCTAAGTTGGTGCAAATAATTCCTATTTCACTATGGTTTATGGTAGATATATTGATATACTATTCCTGTTGGTATAAACCAACAAACATAACTGGGGGGGGGCACATTTCCCATTGACCTTGGTTACATCGTTTTGAAGTACAAAAAAAAACATGGGTCTCAGGGGAATCCCTGAAAATGATGATTAACCGTATCAATTCATGAATTAGTTTAATCTTCTAATGTAATTGATACGGTTAATCATCATTTTGATGACATTGAATTGTTAAATTGATGACATTACATCAATTGTCATCAATTTGTTTAATCTTCTTTTCGGAGCCCATATGACTCAGTCACGATTTCAGCTCGGCCCCTTGGTTTCCAGCGTGCAACGAAGGGGCCGCGCAAGTTCGCGTAGGCCTGGGGCTTGCCAAACCCAAATGGTGGAACCCTGGCTAAAAATGATGCTTAACAAGCGTTAAATAACACATACAAGATGTATAACTGTAAAATTTATTATAAACAATATTATAAACACATATATATATATATATATGATTCTATATTTATTTTGCCTACACGAAACAATTACCAACCATCAGTTCTGGATATGGGACCTTAAACAAAAACACGTTCTGTCAGTTGTTGTGGAGCAACGTATGGTTGTTGCCAAGATCTGCCAAGTAAATTCTGTACATTCTGTAGCCCCCCCTAAATAGCTAGACATAGCTACTGTAATTGATGTATAACTCCAATGACACCATGGTTATCCATGGTTTATGATACGTATAACAATGTATAACTATAGTATTCATGGGGTTTACAAAGCAACAAACATACAGTAACTGGGGGTGGCCACATTGCAGATTGGTCCGCATGCTCACACTGTGAGCTAAGCAATCTGAGCTTATCTGAGGCAAGAAAACACCAAGTTTTCCCATCCCAGTATACTCTGAGTAAATATTTTTCTGTTATGGTTTGTAACAATCCCCATTAAACCAGGTAATATCATCCCCTTTTTTCACCAGTCAGTAATGCTATGTTGAGCCCGGCTCATGTTTCGCCGTTGCGTCAATGGTTTTTCCGAGATTGGTTCAAGGGATGAATTCAATGACACCAAAAATATGCTCGTCATCTCACTCATCCCAAGTAATTATGGTTGAAAAACGATAAATAGTTATAGTATGTTATAGTTGAATCCCCTGGCAGCCAGCAGCCCATGTGGAAATCCATGACAGTTTTTTTTTTTTTTCGGAACATCGTTTTTTCCAATGCTGGGACATGTGCCACATTGTAGCTTGTAGCCCCATGATTGTGCATCAGAGCACAGAAGAATTCAACAAGGCTGCCCAAACATGTATACAATCTTGTTGTGTGAACATCAGATGGACACATCATGAGCATGCACCTGTATAATTTATATACATATATGATGTTGTTTCATGACCCATTAAAGACATGAATGTGGCAGCCATACTTCCCATACTGTTACAATCTATTGAATTCAACGATTCTACCTAGACAACTCCTGCCTATCTCTGAAAATGGGGAACCCCTCAATCCACTAATTTTCCCCATAGAAATTACCATTTCGGTTATTGCTCACCGCCCACTCAGTGCCTGCAAGCCGAGATGATTTCCCAGCTTGTGAGAATGCCTCAGCTCGGAAATGCATGGAGGCATGGGGTGGGGATGCGAACTACTGCGAGCTTAGCTCACAACGCAATATCATCATCATCATCATCATCATCGCCTGGCCAGCAGCAGACATCGAGGCAACGGTGGCCGTGTGCTTCACTGGAGAGGGAGTCGTCTGGCCAGCAGCAGAAATCGAGGCAACGGTCTTGTTGAAGAACACATCCATGGCTCCTCGGAACCTCTTTGTCCTCGGTTCGGTCACCTCCATCGGCTCCAGCGCACCCATTTGGCAGAGTTCTGCACCCATCTGTGTCGTCTCAAGCATCTCCTCATGCTGTCACGATCAGTGACAGTCCAGTGCTTTTGGCGTACTTTTTTCTGGTTGGTGGTTGAGCCCTACCCCTCTGAAAAATATGAACGTCAGTGGGGATGATGATTATTCCACAACGTTTCACAATTCACTGGATGGGTTTCAGGGAAAATCTACAGGATAGCACCCATCCAGTGAAAACTTTCAGGATATTTCGGACCATGCGGTTCTATCCCCGATGAGTGAATGACTTATCGTATGAAACGTCTCGTTATATCCCCCTTAATCATATCAACCATATATATATATAACTCATATATATAACTCATATATATAACTCATATATATATATAATTCATATATATATATGCTCCATGGTGCTGGAATATTTACAAACATTTGCCCAAAGAAAATAATCCAGTTCTGGTGCGGTAAACCAGCACAAAAAGGCACCATGGCACCATGGCACCATGCTTCGCATTGCCAAGTGAAACGATGCCGCTGCCCGCCCTCGGCAGACTGAGCATCCATGCCCTGCCGGAATGTTCATCGTTGGCAGCGAAGAACACTGCGCGGAGCCGCGGAGCTGAAGGTTGGAGGTGGGCCATTGGGGGCCGCCGTGACAACTGGATAGGTATATATGGATTATCATGGATTGTCTTGGATTATCATAGATTATTAAGGATTATAGCGAAGTATTCATGGTAGTCATTTCATGACTCTATGACCGGAGATTGTTTGATAGGTATCGAGGGTTGTTCCCAACACTCCAAAGACCTATAGAAATTGGCCATGCTTTTGCTGCAGTCAGTTGGAGCAACTACTGATTTGTGGTCAAACTAAAGCAGTTGAGGTCAGTTCAGTTTTTTTTTCCTCTGGTAACTTAACATGGCTATGGAAGCCATGGCCCATTTATAGTCCATGTACCTATTGAAATGGTGATTTCTCCATGGTAAATCTTTGATAGTCCACAAAAAGTGGGCATCTTTTGCTGGTGATGCTTCCATTTATAGCAAAAAGCATGGATGGATTAGTTTCTACCCATCCATCCAAGGTTCGGGACCACAGCTGTGTTTACCAATACCAGGTACAGTCAAGCAACATCTCACCGTCTCGTGGTGAGTCCCGGCTGGCTGAACTTCATTGTAGCCAGTGGCGACTGCTATTCCTGGATTTATGTGTACCCAAAAAAACGGGAGTTTTTTATCTGTAATGTTTTGCAAAGCAATAGTAAACCATCCCCAATTCTGCAGTAAATGGGTGGTATAAAATGGTAATAAACCATCCAATTTCTAGGGTTATGTTTTATTTTATCGTAATTTCAAAGCATCAGATTAGTACTAATAACCAATGGTTTCAAATCAAATCTAAGTAAAGAATAAAAACTATTTCGTAGAATTTCTGTCTAATCTATGGTTAGGATTAATAAACTTACTGGTGCTAAACGTAGGGAATGGGGGGATGATCTATAATATTCTATAATAACTATTAACCATCTAATTAACCATCATCCCAGCAACCCCCACTCCCTGCAAGGTGGTGGCCCCCCAGTTATGTTTGTTGGTTTATCACCATAGTAAGTATAGAGATATATCTATCATAGACCATAGTGAAATTAGAGTTATGAAACCAAGTTAGCGAACGAACTGGGGCACCTTGTGCTAAGCACCAGTCAGTAACCCAGCTGAGGGCATGCCAGCGCTGGGATGTCGCACGCGCAAAGGTGCCAGAGGATGGACTCCTAGCCACAGGAAGCCTAGCATTTTTGGGGTTCCAGAGGTGCAAAATTCACGTTTTTCTTTAAAGATGTTCAATGGATCCAAATCAGGTGAGAAACTATAGCAAACTGCGAATTTTTAACTGTCTCAATTTTATGTGTGTTGGAAGCTTCAAGGTGGAGATACCCAACTCACTACAAAAGAACATGTAGCCAGGATGGATACTCGGAACACATGTAACACTCGACCACTTGGCCCAGAGGTTTGATTGTCAGAAGGCCATCCAGTCGTGGCTTCTTGTACCAATTAAAAACGCAGCGTATCCCGAAGTCCTGAGAATCAAAATAGATTCTACATTGTTCTTTCTCCATTTTTTTTAAGTTAAGAAAAATGGGATGGTTCAAGGGACATCTGGCCAAGCGATTTCAAGTGTATAGACTGTATAGAATCTTATAGACAGATTGACAGCTTGACAGCCTGTATTTGATTTCGGAAGCGTGTCTTTGTTGCATTTGTTGGTAACTTGAATCACCTTATTTAAGTGATCAAGTAACGTCACCAATGATCTGACCGTAAAATGGTTCTGGCAAATTACTCCCTGCTGTTTGAATGATTAACATATATCATAAATACATATAATAAAGACATAACTAGAAATCATCAATTTATGAAACTGATGTGGGGATTTCTGAAAATCGGGGATCCCGAAGTCACCATAGGTTTCAATACCAAGGTGGTTATCCATGACAGACTTGGGTGATTTGGGAGGACCCCCATGACTTAGGAAACCTCAAATATGTATATATATATATACATACATACGTATAATATAATATGTATGTACATCTATATATATATATATAAATATGATTAGTATATACACCCTATAACATATGACATAAACACAAACACATGGTGTTCACATCCCCTATTTCATTCACCAGTACGTACATGACATGCAAAGTCCGCGCTCCTCGCAGGTCATGCTGCTTTCGAGAGCCGGGACCTTGCGAATGACTTCCGGAGGGTAAGAAGATGAAGCCATCAGTGGGACATGAAAGATGATACAGGATGATACAGGAACATTGTTTTGTATTCACGATGTTCACAATATTCCTCCATGATACAGAAAACTACATGATGAACATGAAGAACAACTAAACCTGTATTGTCCTCTATTTTGGTAAATGTTTAGCTGTTCTTCATGTTTTATATTGTCTAAAAGTTTACCATTCACTAACGAACCACGCATTGTCCGAAAATCATGGGATCTCCTGAAATCATAAAAAATCATTGGATATCTTACCATCTCAATATCTAATATTATGATCATTTTAATGAGATCTAATACCATTATCTAAATTATGATCAGTTTATGCTATTATCTCAATATCCTTTTGCGATATTCAAGCTGGCACCGACATTCAAATGCTTCGTACCTCCATGAGAATTCAGGAAGGAGAGCCGGGTATCCAACGCACCAGCCATGGCACCTGCACGTTTGGATCCGAAGTATCCCGCTGAAGAGATCTTGCCCATATGCTCCATGGCTGGTTGGTGGTTGACCAACCCTTTTTAAAAAATATGATCATTATATACCAATAATAGTGGTTATAATACCAATAATAGTGGTTATAATACCAATAATAGTGGTTATAATACCAATAATAGTGGTTATATGGTTATATGATGGGATATATATATATATACTAATATACATTACTGGTTGGTGGTTGAGCCACCTACCCCTCTGAAAAATGATGGAGTGAGTAACAGTTGGGATGATGACATTCCCAATATGGGTATGGATCAATACCTATTAATTAAATTAATACCATTTTTAATGGGATGAACATCCATAAATCCCAGCTATTTTGGGGTTCACTAGGTACCAGGGTTTTGACCCATCCCTATATATGCAAAAATAAAAAATGTTCCAAACCGCCAACCAGATGGTTTTATTTTTTACCGCACCATAACTGGGTGATTTTCTTCGGGCAAATGTTGGTAACAATAGAATTCCGTAGCTCCATGTGGCATAGTTGGATTATCCTGGATTTTCCGCTGGTTAATAAGAAATCCTGGGTTAATCATAAGAAAAGGATAACAAGATCGTAGTATAATTCCTTGGAACAATAGGGAATACTAGGATTACGATTTAATTGGATGTATTCTGGTTTATTCATATTTATTAATATATATATCCCGACGATGCAATAGATTTGATAATACGGGATCATGGATTCATAATAGGCTTTCAACAATCTAAGAGTAGGGATTATTATTGTCCTGGAACAATAAGGCATAGTAGGATCCATCAACCGTATCTAATAATAAGACTCAATAGTTGGATTCAAACTATTAAACACCTATAGTGAATGATATGGAACTAATCGATAATAGGGAATAATCAGGTTTATCCCCAATCATATTGGATAATGGAAATTATGTTCATCTAATTGTCTATTGTCTCAAATCACTTGCAACAATGGGATAATAAAGAGATTTAACAATCAACAAAAGGGATTATAAGAGGGATAATGAGGACGGTTTGATATAAGGGGATTTGCAATATAATATTCCTTGATAATAACTTGGAGATACTTGGAGATAGTATGATATACTGTAGTCGATTATAGCTGGCCTAAACTGGGATGCAGTGAATTACTATGAACTGTTGAGGTATTATCCCCGCCCACCTGATATTAAACAATTTCAATGGATCCCAATGGTATGGTCCCAAATATGTGACTTCATCCCCTACTTTTTACAATGGTTAATGGGGGAGGTGAGTTTTTTTGAACAGGGGGAACAGAATGGAACAGATCAATATCCCCAAACTCCAAACAAACCAGAAACAAGCGTTGCCGTAGAAACTCAACCATTTGTCATCTAGGAAAACTTCACTACCTAAGGAAAGTTCCAAGGAAAGATAGTTGCTATGTGGGGGTTTCCAATCCATGGGGATACCCCCAAATCAGCTATTGGGGTAACCCTGACTATTTCTGGCTGTCAGGGTCGAAGGTTTGGATGTAGCCAACTCCCCAATAAACCAGGCAGAATACCCTGCATCTCGCGAATTAGCCAGGGTTTTGGTGAATGCTCAAACTAAAAGGCCTATGTGGCAACTATGTGGCACCAACTGAAGCCTCGAAAATCACCTAGAAATGGAGGTTTCGAGCTCGAAAATTCACCAAAGATGGGGGATTCTCCGTCGCCAGCTTTGATTACCGGATGTTTTAAAGACCCCTCTGACTTCGATGGAGGTAGTGGGGAGATTCAGTCCCAGGAAAAAACACAAACAATCAGAAACAATCAGATATATATATATATATATACGTTATATACATACATACATACATACATACATACATTACATACATACATACATACATACATACATACATACATACATACATACATACATACATACATATGAATTATGTATGTATGTATCTATGTATCTATGTATCTATGTATGTATGTATGTATGTATGTATGTATGTATGCATGTATGTATGCATGCATGCATGCATGTATGTATGTATGTATTCATATATGTATGTATATATATATATGTATATATACATATATTCATATATGTATGTATATATATAATTATATATATGTTATATCACATATATTTATATATGTATGTATATATATATATATTCATTTATATTCTGTATTTGTTGTTCCAGTCAAGGATCCACCATGACAAAACAGGACTTTCCTGACTTCTCAATACAGTATTCATGATACAATAAAGGGATTGCATCAATCCATGAGCTTAGTTTCTGTTAATTTCATCTTGTTCAATGGTTGTACAACAGTCATGCATCAGAAGTCACTATCATCTAATCCCAGCCCTGCCTGTGGTGCGCCCAAGCAACTACCTACTGAAGCTGTGTTGAACTGTGATTTCGTATCAGAAGTTCTTTCTTCATGGGATTTCTTTCACAAATCAAGGAATTCAAGTACGTACTTCCGGGAATAGATTCCCACTTGCGACTAGGGATGATTAGGGATGATTAGGGCACTGAAATATGCACTTTTTCACCTTTCTGGACTGTTTCTTCTGAACCGGTGAAACCGAGCACGGTTGAACGATCTCTTCGTGGTTGCGGTCCGGGAAATCCACTGCCCAACAGCACGGAGTCATGACAAGTCACTACAGTAACTGCTTGGTGGTATAGCTATCCCTCTGAAAAATATGAAAGTCAGTTAGGATGATCATTCCCAATATATGGAAAAAATCAAAAATGTTCCAAACCACCAACTAGGTAATGCTGGATATTCTCTTGATGTGTTCCATTACGTGCTGACTTTCCATACAAATTCCATAGATTTCCATAGATCGCACAGGCGGGTTTACAACAGTAGTGGCATGCCGGTTTTGAATTCAATGGGTAAGCGGAGTTACACCCCCAATTGATTGACACTTGTACACGTTTGTGCTATTTCAGTATAAAAGTATATAAAAGTGACAATGGTGCACATTTTTAGCGATCCATGGTGCCATTCACCATCTTTCTCATTTGAGTAGTTGCCAAACCACTGCCGAAAAACAACCTTGTCTGACAGCAACTGAATAATACTACAGTAAATCAACAATCAGTGGTGTTTGGCAATTCCTGTTGCATTAATCAACATTGAGCAACCATCATTTCTGGGTTCTATGATGTCCCCTTTCTTGTGTTCGTTGATTCCACATGTCTGTTCATCAAATGTCATATCCCATTGGAAAAAATCATGCTTCCTGTGGTAAACCCATTTCTGAATCATATTTGATTTTGCTGTTGAGAGGTGCTTGACTACTACGGGTCCACCACCTTTCAAGCTTTGACCCGGCGGATAAATGAGGATCCCCACGTTATCACAATCTCCAATGTTTGACCGACCGTAGAGAATCATCAACCAGATTCAACCAGTTTTTCTTGAAATTTCTCAACCACCTCTTGTCATTTTGCTGCCTTTTTGTGCCCTGCTGACTGGACGACTGCGAGCCGAGCCCCGAGCTGTCCGTTGGGTCCACTAGTGGGTATGCTAACATCTAAACAACTACACCAAAGAAAAGTCACGTCAAAGCCAAATGGCAAAAAATGGCAAGCTACTTCCTATCTGGGGAAAAACATGTGATGACAAACAAATACATATATATATACATATATATATACATATAGATATAAATGTATATACATATATATATATAGATATATGTATATATATATATATAAATATGTATATATATATATACATACATACATATATTTATATACATATATATATATATATACATATATATATGTATAAATAGGTATAGAAAGGTCCTGTCACCCCCATTCAGAGAGTGCTGGGTCATGCTGGATCATTGGGACCTCCATTTCCGAACGTTGCTGACTTTGCTGGGCATTTCTTGGGAGCCCGCCTGGCTGAGTGGATCATGATCAATTGATCAATTCCAAACCATTTGTAGATTCATTGCCCAATCATCCCATTTGTTGATTGGGCCATTTACCCACTACAAATGATGATTTACCTGATTCATGATAAGAATTCATGTTTTAGTTTCTTTTCAATTACTCTCTGAAGATATCAAGTTTCCATAAATTATATAATTTTCACGGTGAGGAAAAATGTGAGGTCATTCTGCGAATGCAACTGCAATTGATCCTACACATCTTGGACCACAGCTCCGGGGATCAGGCGAAATGCCGTTTTCGGATCAGCAACATATATAGATCGTTAGCTGAATTGACGTTGGCATCAGCGAAGGCCGCGACCGGGCCGGTCAACTCCGGTCATAGGTCGATCTCTTTGAATCGCGATATCAGTCTCATGAGAGCCGGGTGACCCTTTAGAAGGATTTTGTTGTTAGATTTGATGTTCAGTGTTCAATCATGTTCAATCAACATTCACTTTTGGAATTATCCGCTTCGACTGTTTCTGATGGCGAAATCCTTGCAGGTAACAAGAAAAACAAAAGACATGCAAAATATGGCAAATCATGCTTTCAAGGTTTACCCATCAACCAGCCATTCAACCAGTCATGTTTACCCATAAGACCATAAGGTTTAAATCTGTGTTTGAATTCTTATCAAACAGCCATTCATCAAGGTTTCCCCATGTCTTCATGCCACCTCAACGCATGGTCACGTACCTCGGCGGCAAGGTGGGGCCAAGTCACCATGAAATGAACAAGACTAAACTGGTTGAATCTATGATGTTTTGGGGATAGCCCTACTAAGAAGGAAACCTCTATAAACCTCTATTTTATGATTCTTATCTCACTTTTTAGTACTTGGAGGATCATCCCATGAATGGGGACTTGCCAGGGCTACCAACCACTAAGTGGGATGATCCTCGAAGTATTTCGCTTTGGTGCCTGAAAATGTTGGGGAAAACTCCCATTCCATCGACTAGCTCATCATCAGTGTTCATTTAAAAACCATGCCATTTGGTGAGTAATTATCGCATTCCCCCATTTTCAGAGACATTAAATTTACCCTCGTCCACAATACATTACCTATTATATATTATATATTGTCTATTTTTATATTATATATTATATATTAAATCATATGTTATACATCAATATATATAAACATATATCAAACATTATGTTGCATGTTATAAAATATGTTATATATATATATATGTATCACATATGAAATATTCTAGATTATCTACCATGTATTATGTGTTCCATATTTTATATGTTATGTTCTATATTCTATATCATGTATTAGATCATATTTAATATTTATATATTATATATAATAATATTGCCCACAGACGCCGTGTGTTGCCCAGACATTAACATTGAGAATGTCGTGCTGTCGAATATATGATAAGAGAGATTGCAGAAAATACTGCGTATACGCAATGTCTTCCAGTTTGGGATTCAAAATTTTGAGAACCTAGGTTTTAGGGTTTAGGGTTTTAGGGTTTGGGATTTTAGGGTTTGGGGTTTTAGGGTTTAGGATGGTTTAGGGTTTAAGGGTTTAGGGTTCGTCGTCTGGGAAATCTCAAGACACTGGCCCTGCGCAGGTGTTTGAGCATGCCGAAGGATAATGTTTAAACATGTTCGCTGCAACCCCTACGTTGCTCCGCGTCGGAATCAGAAGTGGCCGAAGTATATAATAGTACATAGCACATAAATCCTATATTACATCACATATAGGTCAGAGGAGGTGCCAAAATTTTTGGGCTTCGTGTTTTTTGCGACGGTAAGCGGTGTTTTTTGCTACGGTGGCCAGATTTGGTGTTTTTTGCGTCGGTCACGAGCCGGTGTTTTCTGCGTCGGTTCCTCGGTGTTTTTTGCGACGGCCCCGGGTGTTTATTGCACTGGTAAGCAGCCTTTCCGGAAGAACCTCCTCGGTGGTAGCTGCGGGCTGTTGCACGAATGCTTCCGGCGAAGTGGCTGCAGCACAACCTGTCGTGCTTTCGATGGGTAGCTGCATTGTTGCTGAAGGAAAAAGTCAAGAACTGTTAAGAGCCCACAAGAAGTTGACAAGAGTGATGTGAAGAACAGAAAAGGAAAACAGAAGAAGGCCAACCGTTTGAGTTGGAATGAGTGGAGAAAAGTGAGAAAAAAGAAAGTTAGTCCGACGAAGAGTCCTTGTGACCATTTTGAGACGCGGACTAAGGATGACATGGGCCTGAGCTGGTTTTGGTTTGGGGTTGTTTTGGTTTGTGGTTTGGTTCCCCCCTTGTTTTTCCTCCTTTTTTGGAGTTCTCACTCCGCGCCTTGGCCTGCAACTAAAACCGGCCCCTTGGGCCTCCCGGGTCCCGATTGTACTGGGGCAGCAACCATGGCCGAAGAGTCGTCGTTGCTGCTTTGGTGCAAGCGCTGTGCCGCGCTGACGAATGGTGCTGCTGCTACACTTGGTTCTTGGGTGTGGGACTTGACTGCAAAACTTGGCTCACTTTTGGAAGTCCCAAAGAGGTTTTTTGACGTTGAAAAGGAAACTTCTGTCATTAAAGCTTCTCGTTTTTGTGGAAACAGAAGGATCAAAAAACCTAGAAAAGGGTGGAAACGACGTTTGAAACTCAGATGTAAGCCATGTCTGAATACTTCACTTTCTCCTTGTTATACTGGCCAGCCAGTTGGGGGGACCGCTGAAGGTGCTTTCAGTCTTGCTGCTGGTGTTTCTTTCCTCAGAAAAAAGCTGGTTAAGGCCTGGAAAACAGAGGTCAGTGAGTTTGACGATGTTTTGCCGAAAAAGTTGTTTCCGGCCAACATGCCGGCTGACAATTGTAGAGGTGGAGCTGGTGGTGCTGCGGCCACCCAAAGGAAAAGACAAGAAAGAAACAGTGATCAAATCTTGTTGGAAGGACTCACTTTGCTGTTACAGCAGCATCTTGAAAGCAGCAGGAGTAACACTCCTGGGACTGGCAAGGGAAAGGGTTCCTCCCCCAAAAAACCGAACAAACAACAAGGGGATTCTCCTGGTTTGTTGGGAGCTCTTCAGCGTCTGGTTTCTAGAGCTCAACAGCAACCTCAAAACTTGCTTGGTCGTTTGAGTACTCTTGTGGAAGTGGCGTCTAAGGGGCAACACCTTGAACCCACCAAGCGAAAAAAAGGTAAGAAGGGTAATAAGACCCCCACCACCAAAGGTTCTTTCAAGGGAAAAAATGAAAAAGGGTTGAATAAAGGAAACGGTAAAGGATGGTCCACCAAAGGTAAAGGGCTCGGAAAGGGTATTGGGAAAGCTGGTCAAAAAGGCAGTGAGCTTAGCTTTCTGGAGTGGCCTTCTTTGAGTGACTCAGCTCCAAAGCAGCAAGATTCTCGATTGCGGCTTAGACAGCAGGACTGGCTTGGAAAAGTGTTGGTCCAAGATGCGATTGATTTCGGACCCAGCATTGACAAACATGGTCTTGAAAAAGAGTTCGTGGTTTTGGTTCATT